AAATCTTTAAAAAAAAAAAAAAAGAGTTTGCCTTTACTTTCCTCTGCCTGATATTAACACGAGTTGGTTGACAGTCCTGCTCCAAAGTCAACTATAATCAGTGGCAGCAGCTGCCACTAGAATTTTCTTCTGTTCAAGCTTTATTCTTGTTCATACATGTCTTGCACAACCAGCGTGGATGTCAATTCCATGGGTCCCCTTCCGTGCCAGTGTGTCATGGTGCCTTGTGTGACCCAGGTCTACTCACCACTTAAAAGGGAAAATGTTTGAGTGTTTCCACACCCAAAAATAACCTACCCGAGCAAACTCCGTAACACATAAAACCTGAGATAATACATCTAGTGGAAGCGGCGATGACACAGCCAGCAGAAGCCGTTTCTGGGGAAGGAGCTTGGAGGGCGACACTCTCGCCACTTGGGGAGCCATTGCCTCTGGAGGAGCTGCTGCAACACAAAAACCCTCAACACTGTGTTTGCTTTGCATCTTTTGTTGTAAAAGCAAAACACCCTCACTGGATTTCTTTCGGCTAGCAGTGTCAGACACTAGCGCAGGACTTCCGTAAAAGCTAAGTGGTAAAATGAACTTCCGAAAAGTGGGGAACTACTACTAAAAGCATAACTTCTGTGCTTTTCCTGGGCACTGCAAAAAATATCTACCAACAGCTCAGCGTGTGTGTGTGTGTGTTTGTGTGTGTGTATGCACGTTGTGTGTGTATGTGTGTGTGAAATAATAAATATACAGGTTCTACCAGATGGGAATGCTGATATTGGGACTTGAAAAAGTAAGGACAATTCTTTATGCTTCAGCCTAAGATAAGAGGATAAATAGGAACACCAGAAATGGCAAAAATGTCCTCTACACCACTGGGGGGTGGTGTAGATGCGCAGATGAGTTTTGAGCTGGAGTTGAGGACGGTGGAGAGAGGTGATGAGGGCACATGGATGAGCGCTGGGCAACTAGGCCTGCAGCCAACTTGATGGAACAAAATAGTCTCAAATAAATCACAGCCTTTTGGCCTGACCCTGAGAAAAATGACAGTTGCCTCTTATCATCCCTATACCCATTTGGTCACTTTCCGACTGCTTTTCAGCCAAATTTGCTTCCTGTCTACTCACTTCCTTCCACCCTTAAGCTGCCAGCACCGTCATCTAAACATCCGTCATCACTTAACTGAGTTGCTGTGATCACTTCCATGTTCCCTCAACTTCCGGTTTCTCCCTCCTCTCAACGACAAGGAGCACCATGTTCTCCACCGAGCACAAAAGCACCCTTTTTATGATACAAATATGACCGATTAAGCCTTTATGAGCTTCCCATTTCTCTGAGGATAAAGACAAAACAAGGCCTATGAGGGGTTCCGTGTCATGATGGCCCTGCCCCCTCGGCCTCACCCCGGCCCCCCACCTGCCTGTCCTGACAGCTGGTCCCTGGGTCCCTACCCCAGAACTACTTCTCCTGGACACCCCAGGACCTTCACTCATGGACTCAAGGGCAAGATTGACAAGGAAGGTCTGGAAAGCTTCATCTCAACCTCAGTCTCTATTCTGCAAAAAAAGTTTTCTCTGACTCCTTGACGAGATCACAGTTCCACCATTGATGTGCAATTCTTTTTTTTTTTAAAGATTTATTTATTTATGCATACAAGAACTGGGGTACAGGCCAGAGGTGTGGGGGGGGGTGAGAGGATTCACCAGAGACAGAGTGGGGAACAGAACAGGCAGATCTACTGAAATACACTGCTGAGGGGAGCAGCGGGCGAGACAGGAGAGGTCTGCTGCACCATGTGAGTCACCTCCCTGGTTTGGAATGGAACTCATGCTGTGGGTAGTTTCATAGTGCTGCATCTGAACCCCTTGTGCCCCCATGACGTGCAATTCTTAATAATAAGACAGATCCAGGCAACAACTCAACAAACGTGCATGTCTTTCTCTGGTGGTTTACTGAAAACTAGTCAGGAAAAGGGACCGTTCCTCCTCCCTGGCACCAAGCACGGCACACTAGTTTATAAAAGCAGAATTTAATAAATGATTGTTGAATGAATGAATGAGCAGACCCCAAGTGAAATGTGATTGGGAAGCTCCAGGTTTAAGCGGAGTGTCATTATTTAGACATGGACAACAAAAAGAATGAAAAAAAAAAAAACCAGCTGTCAACAAGTGACATTTACCCCAGCTGACCAGTATCCAGTGATTAAAGAATGTCAATTGGACAAAAATCTTTTTATATAAACACAAGAAAGCCACAAAATAAAGAAGATATTCGTGTTAAATGTGGAGTAACTTAAATATACATGCCAGTAAAAGTTCCCCAAGGAAAGACAGGGCTCACCCTGGGGTCAAGTATAGCCATGCACGCTCAGCTCATTCTGGGTCTCCACTGTGAGAAATGGCAGGCTTGGGAATGTGAGTTCTTCTGGTCACTTCTCTGTGATTAGCAACAAAAGGAGCGATGGTGGTGGAGACGTGGCTTCCACTTGTCTGTTGAGTGACCTCAGAAAACCCATGAACTCCTGTGATGACTAGTTTCCTCTTTTACCAAAAACTACAAATACAAGATCCACCATCCAAGGTGCTAGGAGCTCAGACTAAATGAAGTGAAACCCCTTTCAAGCTTTTCATCGCTACAGAAATACTACAGATTGCTATGATTGTTATGGTGGAGGCTGTAAATACTGTCTGGGTCACTTTTTGCTACTTCAGTCTGAAAAGCACCATGATGCTTATTTTAAAACTTTGTGCCCAGTAACTTTGATTCACTGATGAAACCTAACAGACACAAAACTTTCAAAAATTCTCCTTTCAAGTTCACAGGTAGTCTTCATATTAATTTTTTGAACCTAGTTGTTTAGTATGTGGTCCGGCAAACACGTCAGTGTGATCACTGAAACCTCAAAGCATCCCATGAGGTGGGAGTGCTGTTTCTCCGACTTGCACAGGAAGAAGCCGAGGCTCTGAAAAGTTAGTAACTTGGCTGAGAGCTCACTGCTAGTAATAACAACCTTGTGGGCAAAGGTTTACGTGCTGTGTAAACTGTGCCAATGCAGTTCTAAATGTTTTCCAGATGTTAACTGACTCTCCTCACCAGTGTACAGGGCAGCTACCATTACTGCCCCCTTCACAGATCAGGGAACCCAGTCCCAAGGGTGTTAAGTAACTTGTCCAGATCACACAGCTGGTAAGTGGCAGAGCAAGGGTTTGAAGACAGGCAGAGCCCTCCCTTATTTATCCAGTGCTGTATTAACTCTCATTTATTGATGGTTTTATCCTGTTCTCTATTGGCCTAACGATGTTTACCTAGTTAATAATCAAGTGTTATTTCATACACACTTTAGTTTATAGTTCCTTGTCTTTTATGCAGAACACACTAAATAAATACTGTGTGGGCCTCCCCTGGTGGCGCAGTGGTTGAGAAGCTGCCCACAACCTCTGCAGCACTGATTCCATCCCCAGCCGCCGGCGAGGGTCCCACGTGGCACGACAGACCTCTCCTGCCATGCCCACTGCTCCCCTCAGCAGTGTATTTCATCAGTCTGCCTGTTCTGCTCCCCACTCTGGCTCTGGTGAATCCTCTCACCCTCCCGTGCTTCTGACTGTACCCAGTGCTTGTATAAATAAATAAATAAATCTTTAAAAAAAAAAAATACTGTGCTACTTTCTCATGGTGGCCCAGTGTCAATTTTATGAGTACAGTACTTTATTCATTCTGCCTCCAGTTTTTATTTTAACTTTTATAGGAGAGTTTTCTTTCAGTCTCTTTTCTGAATCTGAGATTGCCTCTTTGACTCTGCTGAGGATTTGTGAAGGTAGAACCCACATCAATAATAACTATTCCTGGGCCTCCTTGGTGATGCAAGGGGTTAAGTCTCAGCACTACAAAACTATCAGTAGCCACTGCAGCATGAGTTCGATTCCCGGCCAGGGAGCTGACCCACATGATGCAGCAGACCTCTCCTGTCTTGTCCGCTACTTCCCTCAGCAGTGTATTTCAGTCAGTCTGCTTGTTCTGCTCTCCACTCTGTCTCTGTCTCTGGAATCCTCTCACCTCCCAGCCCTACAGCTCTGGCCTACACCCCAGCATTGGTAAGCATAAAAAAAATAAATCTTTGAAAAATAATAGCTATTCCTAATGTAAGAGTTAATAAGTTCTGAACTGAGGTCAACTTCACAGTCTTGAGTGCTCGGCTTTATCATGACGATTGCAGATTTCAGCTGAGATGAGGGGAAGTCTGGCCTCTAGATAAGTATCTGTAATTATTGGACCACATGAGAAATCCTCTGTTTTATCCAGAGCTTAATTTCATGTTGTTGTTATTCAATCATCAGACACATCAGGCATATATGTAAGGACTTTTAAAATTCACTTCCTACAGAAGACCAAATCTTTAAAAAATGTTAGACTCCTCCCCAAACCCAAAGCTCACATCCTGTCGCGGAGCTGACATTTTCTGTTCCCCCATCCTGCTTTATTTTTGTCTTTTTCCCAAGTAGAACATAACAAAAAGCTGAGCACCTGGCATTTCCTATGCATCCACCACAATTCTAAGGAATCTATATCAAGTGACTCACATAATACAAAAACTCCATTTACAGGTGAGGAAACTGAGTGCAAAAATGAAGTCACCTGCCACAGGTCCCACCTGCAGCTGCAGGGAGCTGGGATTTGAACCGGGCAGTCTGACTGGAGTCTGTGTTCTGTGGCTGCTGCACTACTGCCCACGAGAACTACAGTACTAAGGGAACAGTGACTTTGTTCTGCTCATTGCCAGAAGCTCAATAAATATTTGTTGACTGTCTGAATGGCCTTCTAGCTCCTGTCTGCCTATCCAAGTGCTCAGCTCCCATCAGGTTAATTTGGGCCTCAAAGTTTGATTGGCTCTACCTGGCAAAGTAACATTCAGGCCCTTCTTCACCTCCTCAAGGCTTCGCTGCTTGCGCTTTGTTTTGACCCACCCTTTCCTGGCATGGTGCCCTGCACCCATTAGACAGTCAATAAATACTCACTGAATGAATGAGTCTTATCTGTAGAGAGCAGTTGACATACACGAAAGTTTGTGATCAAGCAGCATATTGTGACCAAGTTATAAGGCGATGTCCTAGAAACTGCACAACTGAATCAAAAGATTTATTTTTACCTTTTGTGAAGGTAAAATTTGTGAAATAGAATTTTCATATTCCAAACATGTGAAAAGTTACTAAGTTTACAGGACTCTGCATTTGATATGGATTATGCACATTTAGTCTTTAAAACAATCCTATGAAGCCCATTGCACAGATAAAGAAATTGATTAGAGGCTGTCATTTTCTGTGGGTTGCAGAGCTGAGATGCTGAAGCCAGAATTCAAACTCACATATTTCTGAGGCCAAAGTTTATCTCTTACAAAACAAGGCATGAAATACAGACTTTGGATTGGAATCCAGTGTATTGAAAATGTCTTGAGATAAAAATAAATCCCATAAATCCAACACTCGGCTTTAATAAGCAAAAGTTTCATTGGCCAGGCAGTATTTCTGACTTTTCTGGAATAAGGATGCCATGAAAAACAGAAACTTCCCATTTGAGAGATTCATTCATTTAACCAGTGCTTGTGAAACCCAGGTGCATGGTGCTGTGATGGTCTATAGAGTCTAGAAGAGGAAGCAGAAAACTAATCAGGCAACACCCAGAGAATGATTTGGGGAGCAGGGTTGGAGAGGGCAAAATGTGGAGTTGTTCCCAGGCCATGTGAGCAACAGGTGAAATGACTATACACTGGAGAGAATGTGAAATGCTTTGGGAACAACCAAGATGGAACTGCAGCTGAAGGCCCTAAATACAGAGTTTAGAGTAGGTTAATCATCTTTGCAAGAAATGAAATGCCCATATATTTCTTATGAAGATCAGTCTAATGATGACAAGAAAAAATGGATTAGATAGGGCCAGATTGGAATTAGGGAAACTGAAGGGGTGTTGAATTTGAACACCTGGCTAGTGGAAACTAAACAGAAAACAGAAATGGCCATAATTGATTTGACAGCTATTAAGAAAGTATCACCTTGATAATTGATGGAAATGCAGAAGAGGCAGTGTCAAGTATATTGAGTGGGAAGTGATTGGGGTAACAGAATAGAGTGCCCACCATAAGGAACAGAAAGGCAAAGGGTCTGTGGGTTTTGGGTTGGATGGTGCTTAGGGTTGCATGTGTGGGATTAACTGGCCCTTGCATTTCGGGGTGGGGCACTTAGTGGAGCGGTCTAGTATGGGAGGAGGCCTTCCAGTAATCAGCAGAGATGGTCCTCAAGACAAGGACGTGGACGGTCTCACCCACGTGGGGCTCGAAATGCAGCGGGGCACTCCCAGGTGCATCCCATTTGGAGAAGGCACAAAAGCACGCCTGCATTTTCATGAACGAGCCTCCAGGGGTGCCGAGGCCGACTGGAGTAGACACTCAAACTCCCTTTAACCGTAATAATTCCTGCTCTAGCTGAGGCGGACCCAACCCAACCCTCGACGCAGACACAGTGACTCGCCCGCCTCCTGCCGAGCGAGCCCGACTCCCTGGGCCTCGGGCTGCTGCACCAGCCCCTGTGGGCATCTCCCCGGAGACCATGCCTCGAACCTCACCGCGGCAGAGGAGCGTCCTCTCCTGCCCTACTCACCGCGCCGGAGGGAGGGTCCCTCCTTCAGGTCGGCCTCTAAAGCGTCCTGCTCATCCTCTCTGAGGCTGCCACCCGCGACTCCGACTCGGGAGGGGCCCCGTCCTGCCCTCCCCCAGCCCGACCCCGGTCCCCTCAACCTCGGGGGCACGGCTGCCGGCTGCGCCGTTGGCTTTTCAGTCAAATCCTCCCGTAGGCCACCAACCGGCGCCGGCCGAGCCAATGCCAGCACTTCTTCCTCCGCCTCGCCGGGACGTCTCAGCCAATCGGAGACAGCCGTGCTGCGGCGTTCCGGGCGCCTTAGCGACGGGTGACGCCTGCCCCAGGGTTGCCCAGCAACCAGAGAACGCGCAGCTTGCAGCTGGGAGCTGCGCGCTGGTTAGGTCTGCGAAGCCCTCATCTCACCCGGACCTGGGTACTTGCCTGTGGACGGGTTCCCTGCGCACCAAGCGCGCCCCTGGGCTTGCTGTCCCCACCTTACAGCATTTGAAATGAGAAGTGTGGGAAAGTGCAGCGTCTCTATATGGTGTTTAGTTTCAAGAATTTCTATCAATAAAAATCAATTCTCTTCCAAAGCAAAGATCTAGTTTGAAAAGAACCAGGGCAGTATTGCCAAATTTGCCATTAAATAGTTTGTTACTTAAAGGACACTGCACACACGCCTCGGGCAATGAAAATATAGCGTTGTGAGGGAATGAGGAGGATTCAGGCTATCTGTGTGGTACACATCACTAATTTCTCTTGCAGCCTTGGGCAACTCTCTTCACCTTTTGTGAATGCTTGAAGCTTCTTTACCCAGATGCACCCCAGTACACACACATACACACAAATTGCAATTAGGTGATACTTTAAAAAAGGTAATTAGCTTCACATTGTAAAGCTTTCGAAAATGAAAAATACTGAGTGCTCATTTTGGGCCAAGCACTATGCCAAATGCTGTCCTGGTTATTTCACTTACTCTTCACATCATTTAAGTCATTATTTCTCATCCCAGTTTAGAGAAGTCCAAAATAGAGGCACGTGAAATTTCCAAAGTTGCCCAGGATAGCAAGGCTAGTTAATGGAGGCAGGCTGGGACCTACAGCTTGGATCAAATGCCACTGTTTCTTGACAATAACGTAAATGAAACTTTCAGACTAAACTTTCAAAACCAAAGCACCTTTCCTCCATCTTACTTCCAAAGGTTATGAAACCTGATTAATCCAAACTGATGAAATCTTCTCAGTGCAGAAAACACAGGAGGAAGGTTACATATACACCAAATAAATAGCCAAGACCTGTAATTTGCTATTAAAAAACACACCACCACCACCACCACCAAGCCATTAAAAACAAAAAAGAAAAATAAGTCTCCACTCTGTGGGGGTTCAGTATTAACATGCTGAGTACACATTATGTAATGGGATGTGTGCTCATCTCACATCACACTGCAAAATTCTGTTCTAAATAAATGGGTCTTTAGAGAAAATAACAGACCCATCTTCTTAAAAGGGCTTTACTTTCAGTATTACATGCAAAATATTAAAATACTGACTGTGAAACACACATTATTTTGTTTCATCATTTTCCCCAGGTTTCAAACTCTTTTCTGTCTTGCTTAGGCCTGAGTATCAGGAGGAAGGAAGCAGAAACCACCAGTTTTCCTCACCCCATCCCTCCCCTCTCAAGTTGAGAAAGACACACAGCTCTTCTAATAAAGTATAAAGACAGTGTCCAACAACTAATTAAGTAGACTTTTATTGCTTGTTCAACTTCAATAACATCTCCAAAAAATAGTTTTCTTTAACAATTATGAAACAAATTTGAAAGGCAGGATCATTCACATTATAGACTTGGTAGAGACTAGTACTTCATATAAATGAAAAATATTAGTTCTACATTTTAAATGTTTAATTTACTTTGGATTTTATTACAAAAGAACATATTGTCATTGTAATTATAAAAGTCATAAAAATTAGAATTGTGCTCTGAAATTATAACAAGCTATCAAATATTATATAAATGAACAATGAAAATCAATTTCTATTTATTTAAATGTAGTAAACACTGGAAGATAAACCTTCCCTACAAAAGAAAAAAATTTATATAAAGCAATAAAAGAAAAGCCACAACACACACCAAAAAAAAAAAAAAAAAAAATCAATCAATGCACAAGAATTCTGACTGAAAAACCAGGGTTTAACAATTCCTCTTAGCCAACTGTGAAAGTCAGTATGTGGTAAATCAATTAAATTTTAAAAAATGATCTTTAGATGATTCTATTTCCAACTATGTTCTCCTGTCATTGCTTATATTACTTTTTGAAAAGCTAGAAAAGAACCAACTTTATATTAAAATTGTCAAATTTTGAATTTTGAACACTATTATAAACTTTGACTATCCTTAAAATCTTTAAATTTATGTTCTGAAAAATAAATAATTGCTGGTCTAAACCAAAAGACATTTCACATATTTGTACTGCATATAACAATGACGTGATCTACATAAATATATTTAAAACATTAAAGTCATTTAATTTAAACACTTTTGAATTACAATGTATGTTAAATGGCTTACACATCTGAAATCTGAGAACATTAAAACTGAATTCACATGTTAGACTGTTGCGCACATTTACAGAACTGACATACATGATATTAACTTTCAAAACAGCAAATTCAGGTGTGAGACCTCAGTTTCAGAAACTTTTTTTTAACAGAATTTTGAACCTGACTCAGTGAAAGGAAAAAATTAGAAAGTTATTATATACATACATAAACTTTTAAGCATGTGGAATAAACAGAAATGTTTTTTTTGATGTCAAAAACCAAAGTTAATAATTTTGAGTGGTAAAGAAATCTGCTTTATAAATACATATATTAGCACATAAAAACTTTTCTCCTACACATTTTACAGAAAACTTGGCAAATATGAACATTGGTATGCCACAGCTTTTTATTAAACTTAAGAGATTTAAGATTGATAACATCATCCACACAAACACACACACACGCATTAAAAGACTGTGTTTCATTTCAGCATGTCTAATGATTCTAGAATATACAGAATCATACTTTTATCATAAGGAAGTTAGTTCATTGTTTTCTCAAAAGCTGCTATTTTAGAGTGAAACAGCATTCAAAAGAAAGTAAATTTTAGATGGTCAACATCAGGATCCATTATAGTCTTTGTAAACAGCATCTATAAATAAATAAAATAGGTGGAGACAAGAATATCCTGAGGTGGCTCTGTGGCCAGGGTATTCAGTAGCACTAAGCTCCATTCTGGAAACCAAGGCATCTAAGAAAGTGCAGGGCTGTTTATATGAATTTATTTTGCAAATAGAATATGTACAGTTTGAATTATTTTGCACCTTGAGGTAAATCAGTACATAGCAATTACTACTGCTCATTTACACCTATATTAAGGCAACAGTTAAAAATCAATATGTAGTAAGTTGTATTTTTCACTGTCTTGCAATTGAATGCTATCCATGATTGTTATTTTTCAAATAGTGGAAAAATATCATTACCACATAAAACAAGCAGTTAATTACTTAAACAGGAGTTACCTTTGCTTTTCAATGGAGTAGTCATATCAGATCATTTTGTAAGTCAAGTAGTCAAAATAAAACAGAAACCATTAACAATCAGAAACAGAGTAAAAACATCTTTTGAGTGCAAAGTATTTTGCAAGTTATGGTTTTTCTGGCACCAGACAATTACTATACACAGTTAAATAAAATCACAGAAACACTATGATCCCAGGTAGTTTTCAGTTTAAATTTTAAAATCACTTGCTGTAAAATAAGTACATTTGTTAACCCTATGATGTCCAGACACAAGGAAATTATGTGAGGAAGTCCTCCTGTTCAGGTCCACCATGGGATTTCACAAAATAGCAGCAAATACTGGGGTCTTTGGAAATGCTGCTGCTGCTATGAATAAAAAGGAATCACTTCAATGGAAGCTCATAAACAGTAACAAGCACCGCGGGCAATACTCTATTATCAGTTGCCAAGAGTCAAAAACTCTTTCAGGCAGTACCAAATTATGCCAGCTATATTTTGTTTAAAAAAAAAAAAAAGTAGCTATATTTCCAACCTCTCATCTCAGGCAGAAGCTGGATCCATTATTTTAACTAGAATCTGACAATATGGTCTCAGATGGGGAAATTACATTAGTTATTTAAGTAGTTAGAATGCATTAAAAACACTTTAAAATTACTAAAATATCAGCTTTTGGCATTCCTCATGATCCTCTAGTAGATCAATTCTTCATATTTATGTACTTCAATTACAAATGATTAAAGAGAGCACTGAAATCTCATAAAAATTTTCATCCTAATATTCACATCACCATTTTTGATATTTCTGTGGCTTCTCAATACTTATTTGGTTTTTTATAAACTATCTCCTTGCCAAATCATTTTCACAACTCCATTCATCCAGTCCTACAGGCTTAACAAGAACAACATTTATTTATTTCATATGGAGCTAAGAGTATATAAAAGATGACTAAAAAAATTTGCTGGAAGTTAAAAAGCTCAAAACTCAAAAACTAAATAACAAATACTAACACTAGATAGGAAGAACACCATCAATCTGAGTTATACATAAAATGTCTAAATTCCTTTTAAAGTACAAATATGGCAGTGCTTTATATCAAAGATGTAAAATCTTTCAACTGCATTCAGATAATAAAAAATAAATGCAAGTGAGCACCAACTATTTACATTAACAATTTACTCTGTATTTGTTACCTTTTCAAATGTTTATATAATAATTAAGCATATCAATTAAAATAAATAAAATATTTTAAAATGAAATCACCAACATCTATTAAATACTACCTATACAATAGAAAGAAAACAATGTAAACAGAAAATGAAAGGTAATTCTTAATAGGATAAAGTAATACTGATCATAAACCCATTTAAGAGAATTCTGACTCCTGATTATTTAATCATACTACTTAGAAAAATACTCAAGAACTTGAACCTGATATATACTAAACCACATTTTAACTGAAAGACAGCTAAGGCAAAGAACAGAGTGGGCATTCTGGGTTCTAATGAAGTACTAGGATCAGAAAATAATTCTACAAAGGCAACAAAATTTATTATAAATTGGCATTTTATAGCTTCTAAAATTCATAGTTATATCTAGTATGGGGGCTAAATTATTAAATCACCTGTAGTTTTACTTGCCCATCAGAATGGAACCCTAGATGTAGAGGTTCTAAGATTTATTTTTCAGTTAAAAACAAAGTGAAACACTCTTGCTCTTATCTAGAAAGTTTCCATTGTTCTACCTCTATAGCTAAAAAAATTCCATCACCTGTGAAACATGATGGACTGTTACATAAATGAAACACAGAGAAGCCATGGCATGTCACCATTTGTCCCACAGCACTGGGCATAAAGACCTCCTGCTCTTCCCAAAAAGCACTAACAGAAATGGAATAATAAGTGAAAAAATGTAGTAGCTCAAGTAAAAATTATTAATAGATGCACAAAGTACATATCATTTAAGGTTGGTAAGAATTGCCAATGATGAACAAATAAATTTAAAGAAAAATAGATTGAATGCATTTCCCTACATCTTTCTATTGCAGGAAAAAATTTTCCAACAGAATAAATATTTGAATAGTAAGAACCATGTACCTCACACTTCTAAGAGACCTCTTCATTATATACACAGTCTCCACAGTGCTCCTAACAAACTTCAGACACTACTTCAAAAATCCCAGTAGTCACGCATAAACAGCATGACATACAATATTGTTGTATACAGTGACATGAAATACACACATCATATATATGTGTATGTGTGTGTATAAATATCTGTGCATCTGTGTGTGTGCGTATGTTTGTGTATATATATATATATATATATATATATAAAGTTCTTCTTGGTTCAATTCTATAACGAAGTTTCAGCATCCATGTATTTCTTTGTTGGCTCATCTTCAAGATCTATTTTCACACTCTCAGGTTTTTCAGGGCTATTTAAAACAAAGAATGAGATATTATATTCTAAACATGGCCAGCAATAGGTTTCCACAGTAAACCTTTTGAAATGACTACAAAAATATACATGTGTAACTTGCTATTATTATTGCACTATTTTATTTTCACACCACTAGACTTAATTGGAAAGACAATATTCTTACGGTGTTTTTTAAATGGATGTTTGCCATTTACAACTGAAGAGGGATTCCCTTAAAACTGGTCTGTATGAGACTATGTTTATTAGTTTTACTTTCTCTATGAATAGTTGTAACATTTGACTTTTATTTTATTGACAAATATACTACAAATTAATCTTTTGTTAATATAAATCAGAATCAAAAAATTCTTGCAAAAATGTTAACTATCTTTTCTTTCTAAATTTTTCCAAATACACGATCCAACACATATTTTCTATGTTCAGGTAACACCAAATGTAAAGATTCCATGTCTATGGATTTAACTGATGGTAACACTTGAGTATCCAGATTAAATTTTTTTTTCCAAAGTATAAGAACATGCTATGGTTGGCTGTCTTCTCTAGGCAAAACTAAAGGAAGGTCCCCTCCCACTAACATTTTTGTCTTAAACAATATAAACCCAAATATTCTCTTTCTTTCCATAATTTTGAACTGAGGGGAAACCTGAATGAAAGGTAGAAGTATAAAAAGACTTTACTTTTATCATAATTACACTGACTGCTGACAAGGCATGAGAAATTATTCAGCGCAAAAGGAGTATTTAATGGAATTCTGACTGCATGGAATAATCTAAAATGACTAAGATCTTAAAAAATTTGAATCAAAGATAAAAGAATGGAAACAGTCGAGCTTGAATATGAGAACTCAAGAAATGATGGTAGAGAAAGAAAAAAATGATGACTGAGAGCAAGTAGTAAGAGTAAGGTCCTAAGTGAAAAGATGAGAAAAACCTGATCAATTATTATTAAAAAAGAAAGTGGCCCAACAGACAATAACTAAACAGAAATAGCTATGTGAGTGCTTGCTTGAAAAAGTTTTGATTTGATGTCCAAGTAAAATATACAGACACTTAACCTATTACCAGCACAAAGTATTTGTTGAATATAAGCAAACAAGTACCTTATAGGATAATACCCAACTCTCCTGAGATCTAGGGATTAAAGCACTAATGATTATCAAATTAGAATCCCCCAGAACTCAGGCCTTCAAGTGAAGGCAAAATAAGGAAAAAAGGGTCACATAACAAGAAATGTGGTCATAGAATAGTCTTTTAGACCATTATATGGTCTTCAAATAATTTAATTTATGGGTTAAATTATCTTCTCAGAAAATATTTACCTCGCAAAAAAAAAAGCTAAAGTAAAATAAAATAAACGAAGGAAGGAAGACAACCATGTTTTACTTTTTGCTTAGATCATCAGAGAGCTTGACTGAGGTTGTATTCAATTAGAGTACTTATACTAATGAATCCCTAATAGTTATCTTTCTTTACATCATTTTTTTTATTTTTTACATATATATTTCATACTACCATATGTATAGATTCATTTGTAAAAGTCTTTTTTTGAAATAGGCAACTACAAATATTAAAGTGACCAAAACATTATTGGTACCTATAACATCCAATGCCAAGAAACAGTTTACTGTTTAATAATGGATAGAGAGGTGGTTGAAAGGAAGAAGGGAGGAAGGAAAGGTGGTTGGGTTTTGTTAAATAAGGAGAACATATATTATGCAAACTGAGTTAAATTTAATAGTTTTATTGAACAACTATCCGTAAGAAAATGGAAAATTGGTTATTGTTAGAAAAATGTGTAAATAGTTACAGCTACCTCGTGTTAGATCTGGTTACTTTGGCATTCTCAGTATTCATGGAAAGTGCCTTCCACTGTGCAGTTTTGGCCATTTCATCTGATATGTTAACAACTGAGGGATCAACACTGAAGAATAAATACACTTTCTGGTTAGTATTCAGTAGATGCAAAGGCATTAATACTGTCACTTTTATTATCTATATGTTTTCTTTTATTAACTTAAAATCGAGAAAACTCTTGCCATGCACTTAAAAACCAAGGTCTAGCAAGAAACAAATTTGTGAAGTTCTGCTATAAAGGTTTCATAGGGAATTGTGATCTTTCTTCATAATGAAAACTGGGAGATTAATTAAATGGCAATGATGTCCAAAGATCATCTTGACTAGAAAGTATACTGTTGAAATAACCTAAAAGACGTATTAAGATGCATATAAATATAAAAAAGAATTTCAATTACAAGTCAATTAGAAAACTTTCATAATTGGCATAAATTTCAATTTCATCAAATATCCAAATAAAGGAAAAATTAAGATTAAAAAACTTATTTTTTACAGCTTTTAAAAATACTTGAAGAATGCTGGCAAAGGTGACCTTCATTGAAAACAGGACTGTGAAAGGATTTCAACAGAAAACACAAAAAGAGTGTTTTTTTAAGTTGGCATTCACCTTTTTAGTGCCAAACTGTTACTTTACCAAGTTTATCAAAATCATAAGAACAAAACACTGTCCTTTTGTAAGGGACAAATGTAAGCATTCCATGGCTCTATGAAATATTGCAAAAAATTATTTCAATACCCCAAATCCAAGTAAAATGAACATGCTATGAATAGAAATATATTTGCAAGCCCATTTTCATCACCAAAAGAAAAACATTTCATGCAAACAAATGACAAGTACAAATGTCAAATTAGATGTTAAATAATGTAACAGCAACTAGGTTGTAAATTACTTTACAGCAGTCATTTTGAAGCATTAGCTTTCTTTGTTCATACTTTACATTGGAATGTTACTTAAAATTTAAGACTAGAGAAATGTGACATTGTCGTTAGAGAGCCTCTAAGAATGGCTGCTTCACCAAATCAATTTTTTTAAGTGCACAAAATTTGAACACCCACATTCACGAAGACATGCAACTCAAGACTCTGCCTGCCCTGCAAAGATGTTTCTTTGCTTGGTTGCCAGCTTGAAGTAACAGGAGAAAGTTCTTAAGGAACTTTCTAGATGTCATCACTTAGAAGGAAAGAGTATTTACTCATTCTTTTTTGTTAAGTATCAGACAGTGAACATATACTTGACTTAAATTTGTCAAGGTCCATGAATAATCACACTGAGAAAGTACTAACGCAGGACCCACAGAAACTAAGGTGTAAATAGTGTCAGCAAATTGGGGAGTAAGTAATAATCATCATAAAGATCCTACACGCTTTAGAAGTACAACTAACAAAGTTAATATATTAATTCAATTCAAACATTGAACAGAATCTAGCAAAGCAGAGTACTACATATAGTTGGATATATTAAGATGGTTATGCTTGGCATTTAATCTAAAGTATACAAAGATTTAAGGAAAAAATCATGAGAGGTGACAGAATAATACCAATGATGACAATTAAAATTAAAACAGTACACAGAAGAAAATCACTTGGTAAATTCACTTATCAAAACTAAGCAACATGTACAATTCCAAATATAATCCCTAAAAAATATAAAAAATAGTTAAAATGCGAGAAGGCTGAAGCAAGATAATTGAATATTAACAAACTTTATGAACTGGTCAGGGAAGGAACCTACATTCATTTTAAAACTGATTTTTCTACAATGATTTTTTACTATATAAAGCTAATCAGATACGGAATCAATGTGTACAAATAGGTATCAGACACACACACATATATGTAACTAACACATTTTGGATCTTTTAAGACTACAAAAATATTTACACATCCCAACCTCTATCTTTAGTCCTAAAATGTACACAGAAATCATCAGAATCACATATGATGAATTATTCATGAAATTTAATAACGTTTCCATAATACAAGCTCCCCCTACCAACGGTGAAATCACATCTTTGGAAACTAGGAGTGTTCCAAGGTCTCTGAACATCGTTCTGCACTGGAAGGTTATCAGAAAATGGATTACAAATACCATTTTCTAGCATACACTGACCACAGCCCAATGAAGGTCAGAAAGGAGCAAACACATTGCTAAGCAGTTAAGATCCTGAGCCTCCTGTACCTGGCATGAATCTACATGGAGTGATGGAAAAACAAGTACATTTTGTCTGCTTAGCATAGTAGCGAGTATAAGGTTCTGATTCAAGCCCAGCTTTTTCTTCATTCCTGCTTATAAACCCGGGTGCGGAAGGAGCACGAAACTTCCTTTTCACAGTGCAGAGAGCTCTCTTTTAGTAGATACGCTAGATGCAGGTCTTTTTATTTTTAAAAAATAGCTATTACTACTTTCAAGAAGCATTAAATAGCTTAAGTCATATACTTGACCTGTACATAAAATCAATTTTACAAAGCAAAATTATATCTTACCTATATTTTAGGGCCTTAACTGGAATTTGCAGGAGACTTCCCCTTTCAAATGGAAGATGCACAGTGTCGTCATCACCTTGAAGCATTCGTTCAGCTTCCTTTAGAGCACATATATGAAGAGATTACTTTTCCCAGAATATTTCCAGGAGGACCAATTAAATACAACATTTTGAGGGGCCTCCCCGGTGGCACGGTGGTTGAGCACAGGGTTGCGAGGCTGCCCGCAGCCTCAGCAGCGCCGGTTCGATCCCCGGCCACTGGGCGAGGGTCCCACATGGCGCGCAGACCTCTCCTGCTGCCTGCTGCTCCCCTCAGCAGTGTACTTTGTCACTCTGCCTGTTCTGCTCTCCGCTCTGGCTCTGTTGAACTCTCTCACCCTCCCGCACTTCTGACTGTACCCAGTGCTTGTATAAATAAATAAATCTTTAAATAAATAAATAAATACAACATTTTGAAAAATTACAAACCCAAATGTATTATTTAAATATAACATATCTGCAATGACTGCAAAATTCATTTGCAGTATGAAATGAGAACATACTTGCAGCATAAGGTGAAATCACCAGAGTAATCTTTAAATGGCTATTACCTTCATTTTTGTAAGTCAATCATTTATACTACTTAAATCAATCTAGCTTCATAAAGTTGATTATCAAATGCCATGTAGATTCGTTTATGATGAGAGATAATATTTTGAGAAATCTCATAGCTTCCACCACGATATGAGCAACACCTCAGTTGTATAAGGCAGCGTTTTTCAATCTCAGCAATATTAACATTTAGAGCCAAGTAATTCTCTGCGCTGCTGTTCAGAGTATGTTCAGCAACATCTGCCCAGTGGACACCAGTAGCAGTCCCTCCAATTTTGACTTGAAAAATGCCCCCTTAGGAGAAAAGGCACCCCAAGTTAATAGCACCCCAAGTTAATCTCTGTCTCAAAGGAGACGGAGATCATAATAATACATGAGGAATGGAAGAGACTTTATTAAAGTGTGTTCATACTCTTCTTCCTCCCCTTAAAAAGAAGTCATGGAAAAGCCCATTTTGCTTTCTCTCCTAATCTCCCTCCTCTTCCTTCCTGATGTGTTTAATGTGAATGTGGCAGTTTGAATTCAGCAGCAATTTTGACCTATGAGATGATCCAGTGATTCTGAGAATGGAAACTGCATGCTGAGGGTTGGAGAAAAGCAGTCAAGCAAGAATCCTTGTACCTCTGTAAAGCCACTACACTAGACTACTTAACTCCAAGACTTAGATGAAAAATAAACTAGTGTTGAAGTCACTATTACTTTTGTTTTCTGTTATTTGTAATTGAATTTTATTCTAATACTGGAAGTAACAGTCAGTTTTAACATAGAACTTTATAAATAATCATACACATAAAAAGCTGGTAACTACATATACAGTATTATGGGGCCTCCCTGGTGGCATAAGAGGTTGAGACACAGCCTATGAAGCTGTCTTCGGCCACTGCAGCACCAGTTCCATCCCCAGCCAGGGAGAAGCCCAGATGGTGTAGCAGACCTCTCCTGACTCGCCTGCTGCTCCCCTCAGCAGTGTATTTCAGTCAGTCTGCCTGTTCTGTTCCCCACTCTGTCTCTGGTGGGTCCTCTCACCTCCCACACCTCTGACCCATGCCCCAGTTCTTGCATACATGAATAAATAAATCTTTAAAAAAAAAAAAAAAGAATTTTTTTAAAAAAAAATTTTGTCTTTTCACCTCTTCTTCTTTTTTCTTTTTGTCATCTTCTTTCTTTTTCTTACTTTCTGGCATGAGATCATCCAGCCAACTCAGTTCTCTCTTTGTGAAGCATAGGTCCATGAGTTTGCGTATAAAGACTAAAGCAAGAACCTTGAAAAAAGTGGGGGAGAGATTATTAAGGAACATCTAAAACAGAACAAACAAGCAAAAAATACATGTCACTAGAAGATAAATATTCACAATTAACAAAAACATAGTCATATATTTTATTTAGAAATGACACACACACCATGTTACTTAAAGGAACTGAGTTAACAATATTTTTTTACTTTCTACTCAAAATATAAAAGATCTTTTAAATCTTCTTTATAAATTTCTTGAACAAAAACTCTTAGCTGCCTTGTGTGTTACAAATATTTTCTCCCAGTTCATAATTTTATTTTATAGTGTTTTTTTGCATATATAAATCATTTAATTATAATACACTCACTTATATCTATCTTTACTGTTGGGTTTCCCAATCTTCTTTCAAAAGTAATTTTCAATCTCGACACTTAACATTTAAATCCCAAATTATTTATGATTTCTTTCTCAAAATGGTATTAGTGGGGAGGGCAACCTTAATTAGCTGTCAGTATACAGTCAACTCTTCTAATATTATTACTAAATGTCCCTATATATGAACTCCCACCTTAAATGAAATAATCTGCTTATAGTGTTCAAGTGGTATGTTTTAATACACTTTGGGATTCATTAGTCTACGTTTTTGATCTATTTGTCTCTTCCTGTGTCAATTCTGTATTGTGTTAGCTACACTGATGTGACAGAAATTTAAAAATAATTAGTTATCAAAACAGTATGCAACAGAACAGGAAGAATCAAGTCTCTCACCCCAGAAGCCTAGAAGCCTAACTTCTAGACCTATTAATTTCTGGAAGAGAGTATTGAAATAATACTTTTAAAGAATCACGTTCTGATGGCTGAGCTTTTTACAATGAGCCACATTTGTTTCATATACATCCTAAATGCCAGAATTGTTTAAAAGTTCAAAACAAGGATCTATAATCCAAGGACTTAAAATGAAACAAACAAAAATTTAGAAATGACAAGCAAATTTGGTTTCAAAATGATTGGTTTAAACAGCTAAAAAGAGTTAACTGTCATTGTCAAACTCTTTAGGTGCTTAAAAGGAGCTATTCCTTTTCTCAAAATCAAGTATAAATACTAACAAAACAGTTACTATTAAAACACATAAAACGGTGAGTAATAAGTGACAAGATCTGTGGAGGGAACAAACTTACCATCATGGGAAAAACTACTGCAGCAGCTGATGCTTTTATCACCCACAGAAGAATCAGGCAAGTGAGCTGAATGACTGTAAAAATGTGGACTTTCCAGAGAGGCACATAACGAAGGTATATCAAGTCAGGTTGATGCTTAGCAGGCATTCCAAATAATTTTATCCTATCAAAAAGCTATCAAATAGATAACAAAACAAAGAAAATTTCAAGGAAAATACTTCTGTCACATAGAAAAAGAAATTATATTCAACTTTGGGGTTTGGTGAGCTAAACGATACCTTCCTTGAGGTATGTTCTGATACTACAGGAGAATGCGCCACAACATAATTTTTGGACCCAAGGAGGGAAAAAAATAAAGCAATCATATGAAATAGTGCAATGAATTTAATCAAAAATTCAAGTCAAAATGTTTTTAATTTGGAGGGGTAAAAATATTTAATGGGTCATTTAATCTCTTTGAACTAGGACGTATAACAAAAGAGCAACAATCTGAATGATTTCCCAAGCCTAACAGTACCAATTCTACAAAAATAATCTGAGGTAAACAGTTACCAATCTTTTCACTCATTGAATAGGAAACAGCAAATTCCTTGACCTTTTTGGGATTTGATTCCCTCATTTATAAACCAGGATTGAGATCAACGTTATCAACCTCACAAATTATTGTTAAAAAGAAAGGTGAAAGACATGAAATGAGATCATGTCTTGACCAGCAAAGAATAAATGCTGCACTATGTTGAAAAAGAGATGTGTCTGAGCAGATGCGCTGCCACCAGCAGCAACTCCCAGACACCAGTTCTCACAGCAGGAGGCAGCCAGGTGGGGCTGTTGTGGACACTTCAGGACCTGGATGTTTTACACTGAGAGTGTACAAACCTTGATAAACTTTACCAGATTGTTTTCCAGGAAGTATTACAAATAAAGCAAAACAGAGCAATGAAATCACAGGGCTCCAGCCTTAACTGCACTGCTCAAGGAGTGATGGACCTTCAGCGAGTGCTTCCATATGTTCCACCAATTTACAAAATTAACATGTCTTTGTTTCCTGCTTCCCAGTGTGAGTGACTCACAGAAAGTGATCAACATAGCAGGCATTATAAACTGTATTGCACCCAGTGAGTGACAGACTTTGCAATTTTTATAGAAAAGTAATTATCTACCTTTTGTTTTTAAGAATTGAAACTGCTGTTCTATGTATCAGAAACAGCACTTTTCCACCCCAATCCTTTTATTGATAGTTTATAGGGATTTAAGCAGAAGTAGTAAGGGCCACATGAGCTCAGCTTATTCTTGGGGGGAAATGTAAAACAAGCAATAGTCACTTTAAAAATGTGGATCTGAAGTCACCCAGTTAGAAACTATGACAGTCAAGAATAAATCACTACCATTATGAAAACAATCTTTACAAATTTAAAATGTTAAGTTTTTGTACAAAATCATTAAACGCTTAAGACTTGCCTGAATTCCTTTTAATGAGGAAACTCCCATGTAAAGGAAAACACCATACAGAACAGGCATTGGAATAAGCTGTAAGTAAAAGGACCACAATTAAAATTCATGCTATTAAAACAATTTCACAGTAATACACAAAAACAAGTAAAACCTGTGGAGATAGAATTAAAAGATCTTTCAGTAACAAGACCTACCTTTCCTATTAAAAAAAATAATAATAACAAAAAATGCTAGTAAACAAAAATCTCCTTGAAAAATTGTTCTTCTGAATGTTAACAGTGACTATGTTCAGTGGCTGAGAGCAGAACATGAAAAGCAGACCACCTGGTGTAAAAAAGTCCAGTCTCAACCTCGCTGTGCTTTAGTTTCTACGTCATATTGCCATGAAGACCACAGGACTTCAAACCCATAGAATACTCAGGAAAGCACATGGTATGTATCGATCACTCAAAAGCTACTAGTCATTAATTATTGTTACTACACCACTAACCCTGTCTCCATGCAGCCCAATCACAGTGCCCAGTGTGCAGGAACTATGCATATCATCCTAACACTGTTCATGTGTTCTCAGAGGGTATATAATTTTTTTGTTCAATTATAATTAAATCAGAGAATGCAAATGTTGTTAAGCTTACCATAACAGAACTAAGGCAGCTGATGGAAGAGAGAATGGGGGTGGCAGGGATAAAGTGCACTAAATTCTCAAAACAGGCATAATCTTAGGTCAGAGGTTCTCATACTTTTTAGTTCCAGAACCCCTTTCTACAAATAAAAATGTGAGAACCCCTTCATATGTAGAAAAAAACTACAGTATTGATACATAATATTGATGTAATATATTTTAACAATGACATTGATTAGGATCATTCAGGGAACTGTTTTTCATGAAAAAATATATATATTTCTAAAATAAAATTAAGAGAGGATTATTTTGTATTTCTGTAAATCTCCTTAGTGGGTGGCTTAAGAGAAGACAATGGAATTCTCTTATCTGCATTTGTATTCCGTATGCTACAACAACTTCTGGCTTAAGTGTATGAAGAAAAAACTCAGCCTTCCAGTTACAGAACTGGAAAGAGAAGGAAGGCGCAGACACTGGGTAGGGGAGTGAGGAACTCCCAGAGGTCCTTGGACTAGAGACTTTGACTATCACTGTCTTAATTAGGTTAAAAGATTTAGTCTAAAGACAAAGTAAAATGTAAAATTATACAAGTATTTACAACACTAATGGTAGTAAACAACCAAAACCACCTAAAAAAAAGTATAAAGAGTTTACCGCTACAGAGTTGTTTCTGAAAAGTGAGGGGACAACAGGGAGATGAACTTTTCATTTTAGAGCTTTCTGGATCCCCTACTTGAATTTTTCTGCCTTTATGTGGTTAATAAAAATTTAACGGGCAACTTTTAAGAGTAAAGAATGGCACCCCCATAAGGCTACACTACACAGGTCTCCCCTTGTTGCAAGCACTGACAATACACTCAACACTCTCTGGCAATTGCCACAATCTGTTTCACAAACTAGACTGAAAGTTTTGAAGAGTACACAATAATGCCTAATTACTTATTGTTTATTTCTTATTGTTTTCCCCAGTACTTACAGCAAAAATAACAAAACTGCCAAGGGGAAAAATAGAATCGCACTCCTCCATGAGTAGAAAAATTTATATAGGATACTTACCTATGTTTGCTATAGTTATTGTTGTTATTTTTTAAAATCACTATTTCAGTAGGATATGTATAGTAAAAATCAGATGTCTAAATGATGTATAACAAAATTTCTTACATGCTTCATTTGCAGTATTAGTTGTTTTAGTTTCTGAGTGCTATTACTTTTTATTTAGTTTACCAGGAAGAAAGCATTAAATTAATTAATAACATTATTTTTACATTTTGATCAAATAATTACATTTCACTCACCTTTCAATATTATTTCCTCTAATATACCTATGAAATTGTCTGGGCATATTCTTTCAGATAGTGACTAAGCCATGGATTAACTTCTTCCAAAAATGTAAATAATATCATTTTGTATTATTTTAAAAGTGGATACATCTAATACTGAAATGACTACTGTATTAAAAAAAAAAAATCACACCAAAATATTATTTTTCAAGTAATTCTAGGGGGAAAAACTAATTTTAGATATTTTATTGCTTCCTTTTCATACAAGTAAGAATAAATTTCATATTAAAGAGGATTTCAAAATACTGCAATAAAGAAATTTTACCTTTAGCACTGAAGTCATGAATACAGACAGGCCCATCAGAATAAAAATCAGTAGCCCTGTAACCCGTTGTTCACGAATTCCTAAAAACTTGGGTTGTTCCCCTGGAGCAGAACATTCCGATTCAACTTTCAGGCTGTTGACATGACTTATTGACAACACTGTTGCAGCCACAAACCATGGAAGTCCCATGATAGAGCAAACTCCCAACATAACACCAACCATGAGCAAATCAAGGTGATAGCCAGCTCCTTTCTGCAAAGTGAACATGAATAATTATAAGTCTAAATCTCTTTTAGGTCAAAACCATATACTATTTATAAAAGGCAGAAATTAATTTTCATCTTACATCTTTCAATGTTTTAGTCCTTATAAAACACCTTATACTCTAGAAGAAATTATAATGCTTATAATTTATAACAAAATGTTATAATGTTATAATGTATAACAAAATTTTAAATTACCTTCAATTTGTGCTCCTTTCTGTTTATGATTACAGCTGTAATTTGTTGATCCATAAAGATGAGAATGGTACAAAGCAGAGCTGGAATAGCAGCTATCAACAAAGTCCACCAAGGATTTTCTCCCAGCGGGCTTATGAACCAGCCCCTATTTGGATCAGTAGGCTGTTAAAAGATTAAAGATCAAAAATAAAGAAAAGAAAATATTTTCTTCCCTTACTGAAGAAAATGTTCCCAACACAGACTCTGTCTATTCCAAGAAATGCCAACTCATCAGAAAGAACTGGATTAAATCTTGGGATGTACGTGAGTTATTTGCACATATAGTCAAAGGGAGCTCTTCCAATGCCCAGATGCAGGTCCCTCATCCATCTGACATAACCACTTGTCCAACTAGCTCAGGAATCTATTCCTTTCCCTTGAGCCTGATGTTGCTTATTTTAACCAATTGACTAAAGCCAAAACGACACTGTGTGATTTCTGAGTCTTGACTTCAGAAATCTATTTCTTCTTCTTGCTATTTCTTCTTCTTCCAAAATCAAGCTGTTGGGTGAGTCTCGATCAGCTTTCTTGAGGATGAAAAATAGTGTGGTTAGGAGAGGGATGGGAGATCTTTGTTGTATCAGCCATCCGAAATGTGGCCCCAAACATGGGAATGAGGCCATACTGCGCCCATCAAGGCAAGAGATGACTGCAGGCACATAAAAGACCCAAACCAAGAGATCAGGTAAACCTAATACAATTGCAACTCATTACGAATTACAGGGTTCCTTTAAAGACTTTATGTTTTGGGAGACTGACCATGCCAGAATAAATAATAAAGAGTCACTTCAACATGCTCCTACCTACTTCATATAAAATGAAATCAATGTAACTACTAGCTAAATTCTGCTTTAGAAATCCTGCAGACTAGTAGTATTGGCAGGGTTGGTACTTCATCAGAACTGGCCCTCAAGACACAATTTTTCCTAAGTATAGAGTTGACAAAAATCTGGCACTTTGTCAGGCACTAGTACACTGCTGTTAACACAATGCTGTTAACACATAAAATTTGTTTCAAAAAGAATCTAGGCAAGTTTCATATTCTTGGAGGATACTGGATATACGGAAATCTAAGCATACTTTTTATACTAGACTTCATTTTAAGTCTTTTTCTATCATGAAAATATCTGTCAAAATGAGAGAGAAATTTAGTATTTTCAGATTCAGCTATTCTTTTCCCACACTAATTTACATTAAACTCTTCATATTCAATACTGCATATGAAGGAAAATAAATGTTATGTACACAATGCATCAAATCTTGAGTGTCCCTTGATTTGTTTCACCAAGTATGTTTTATACCTCCTATAATGTTTGCTACTTCAAACGTACATCAACAGATAGAAGATGTTTTAGGAACCAGAATAAGAGCCAGGGGAGCCAGGATTACGGGAAATTAAATCAATATTTTGAACTAATATTAAAGGTTCATCTGTTTGTAAAACTTGGTAAAAAGAGGGTTAAGTTTCTTTTGTCATTTCTTGATGGCCTATCATCTTTAGTGACTCAGTTATCTCTGCTGCTAAACAAAGGATTCCAACACTTTTTACTATTGTTCTGAGCAGCAAAAAAAATCTTAAAAACAAAATTGAGCATATAGAGTTAAATAGCTATATACTCATTTCTATTGTTACTAGTGTTTATCCATCAAGTAAAATTTGTGTAGTAAAATTACAAAGCTTAATTTGTCTTTTAACTTTAGATAGAAATACAAACAGAACTTCTAAACAATTTTGATGGATCATTTTCCACCCAGGCACTTTACTCTGGAGGCCATTATTCTTAAAAATAATGCTATTTTTTTGACCCTATGCAAAGATCAGACTAAAATTATTTCCATATTATTCATCAGTTTTAATCCCTTTTAAACCTTCTGTCTCTAAAAGAAGTCATATAATTTGCTAAATGTAACTATATGCAGTGACACATATACTTGGCTGTAAGTACGTTTCAGAAACTATTCAAAAGCTACTTCCAATTTGGAAGAGAAAATAATTTCTGAGTGCAAATGCATATGGTATATTATATACAAAAGAACTATAGTTTGCTGACATACTACCCTTCTAGAAGTTTAACTAGTATCCTCTTGTTATTCTTATAAAAAGTTTGAAATACTTCTTTTCTAAAAGAATAAAAAAATATTTCTTTCACCTGGAAAGCGCATCATGAACTCTGGCTAAGAGAGCAGAGTCACATTTTTAAAATGCCCTCCGATTCCTCACCATGGATATGTTCATTCACTCTCCCTGACCGAATGCCTTTGATACCTTTTTGCTTACTTCTTAAATTCACCTGCCTCTTTTCACTGAGTCTTTTTTTTTATATATGTGAGAATTACACATATAATTTTTTCTTTAAAATCCAGCTCTTCAGAGTGTCTACGCATATGTTAGAAATAATGACTTAGGAGGCTGTGTCTCATTTTTAAGCAGCTTGATATTCAAGTAAGTGTTTTAATCCTTACCTGGAATTTTTCAGGAACATGAAGTTTAGGAGATGGAACTCCTACAAAGTAGTCAATTACAACCATTATTACTATTGTGAGAAATATAGCAAAGTCACTGATTGTCGATCGCACCTATATTAAAGGAATTATTATTAATATAAACACAGAAATAACATTTTTCCTTTTTAAATAATTCTTATCTTTCAGAGATTAAAATATGCCACTACAAAGAGTGAATGCGGCTTTTAATTAGTGATAGCGTATCAAGGAAACACATTTATATCTAATATATTCAAAAGATAAACACATTTTATAGCTAACCTACCATCTCTCTTGGTACTGTTATCTTCCTATTGTTAACTCTGATAATATAATGTATATTTTTCATTATGAATAATTTCATTGTAAGTATTTAACATAAAGTATTAACCTCAAACAATGTATTCTCATTCTGATGTAAACCAAGAAAATAAAAACTAAAAACATTAATATTAAGGGAACCCCAAAATTACATATTCCCAATACCTTGGTTGGAAAATAGCGCTTGGTCTTAAATTGCTTGAGGAATGAAGACAGAAAAAATGTTGTGAAAAATAAGATGACACTCCAAAACAGCACATCTGGGATATAAGGTCCATGATGACCACAAGCTGATCCTACAAATGCCCCACGAAAGGCTTTACATTCCTGCAGGGGGTGGAAGAAACAGAAAGAAGAGGGGATGAAAGGCGTTCTCAGATAGCAAATACATTACTAGTAAACTTCAGTGACTCCAAGATGCTCCAAAAGACACACCATTATTTTATTTCATTTACAAAGAAAATACGTTGCCAACTCAACTATAACACATCACCAAGTATAGGACACACCCTGCATTCAAAGATATATGGTTTGAAAAATATGTGCATGTTATCAAATACAAGAACAGTATTCTGCCAACTTAAGTCAAATAACCCTTTCCTTCAACTCCATGTTACTATTGGTAAGACTTAAGGTGAGGAAATTCCTATCTGCATTCTTGCTGGTTCATAACTTTATTATCTTTCCTTAACTTCTAAGCAAGTTAGTCAAAACAAAGCAACAGACACAAAGCTGCCACTCTGCCTATTTATGATGCTGAATAAGAGATGGCTACAGCACTACATTCCAATCAGTGATATTAACTGTGTGTTGCTTTTCTGACTTGATTGAAGAACATGTGGTTAAAGTATGGGATTATGAGCAAAAAAGTGTCCAACAAAATATTGCTATTAAATAATAATATGGTATAATATAATTATAGAAATCTATTGACTTAATTTTCTTTTGGAGGGTGTGGCAGGGGAGTGATAATTGAAAGGGAAGCAGGCCACTAACATTCTTTTTTCCCCCTTATATTTTACTGAGACACAGTCAAAGAACACAGCAGGTAACTGGGGTTTACCAAAAAAAAGTTAAGGATGCTAATATTCTTAATATCGTTGTACCAAGATTAATGTAACTCTACAAATTTACAAAACCTTGGTCCTTTTGGATTACTAAAGTACCCTATATCTACAATATAAAGATATCCTATTCATCGTGTAATACATCTTTTTTAACCAAGGACTTTCAACTGAGCAACTCTTATTAACCCTACATCTTTGATAACAACAACAAAAAAAATGGATTTTAAAGTATAAAACAGTAAAGCATCCATCTGAGTTGGTTACTGATATATAACGCCTTAAATCAGCACAGTGGAAAAGTCACTTATGTGCACTACCCGACACAGCACCAGGCAGTCACGCGGAATGACTGAGCACTTGAAACGGAGCCAACGTAACTGAAAACCCAACTTTCAATTCATTTATTTAAAATGTATCCAATGACTCCTATACTGGACAAAATAGATTTAAATTATCAATGGTAGAAAGTTTCAGACAATAGCTTCAAGTTATATGGTAAGAAGATAACTATCACCTTTGGGGAGAAAGGAATGGCCTACAATTGCTCACATAACATAAAAAGTGCCCGAGAAGTTCAGGAAATATTGGTGCCAGATGATGCTACCAGCATCACTTTACATTTTTATTCCTAAATCCCAACCTTGGAAGCACCCTAAATAGCTATTTTAGGGCTAGGACAATATTTTCCAAGAGAATACAAGACTGTAAGAGTGTTTGGGACACAATAGAGACTCATTACATCTGTTTGCCCTTTCTCTTCCCCTAGTGCTTAGTCAGACTAGGGACAATTTTATCAAGGCTGACTTTCACAGGACACTAGCAGGGCACTGATAATATTCAAATAAGCTAATCATAGAATAGATGAAGTGGTAAGAGGCAGCAGGACAAGGAGAACGGGCTGTTGTAACTGTGAAGGCCAGTATGTGCAACCATAGTCCTGGGAGTCACCTCCTTTGAGTTGAGCAGTCTAAGTGATATTATAAACCAGAAGTATATCCACAATCTTTTTAATAGTTGTACCTTCCCAACTTCATTCGTTTTAGTCTGTACTTTTTAGTACACGATATATAAAAATGTGAAAACCCTATTTGGTCAAAACACCACTTTATTCTGAAAACATGACATCCACCGATCCAGAAGAAAATATTATAGGTCTACTCAGAAAAAGTTAAAGAACTAGGTTTCCATGTGAAATTATTTTATACTATTACATATAACCTTTATTTTATATAATAAACTCACCGAAACAGTGAGATTCTCCCAGGAAATATCACTTGCTGTTATATTCTTTTCCTCCCACAGCTTCAGAGTTGCATTGTTAGGGTTAAGAGGTTCAGTACATACACACCTGAAAAATTACAATAGGATTAAAATTTTAAGGATCATGCATTTCATGCTTACCATTTATGAAATCAACTACACAATGTAGTAGTTTTTAATTTTTAACTACTTAACCTTTCCCCATGTTATAGAGATGGAGATTTAAAGTGAAAACACATTAGAAACAGCAGAGTGGATAAGGCTTGGCTTATATAAATAGAATGTAATACAATTATCCCAAAAATGTTTAATGAAACAGATTAGATATACCCCTCAGATTAGATATTTTCTTTGAAAATCTGAACAGATATAACCATGTTTACCAAGGTTACTCTGCATTAAATCTTATCTCCCTAACCTCTAGCAGCTGCTGTTAACTCCCTCTACACAAATACACACACTATGCCAAGAATACTAGTAAATGTGGTACTCTTTTTTTTTTTTTTTTTAAAGATTTATTTATTTATTTATACAAGCACTGGGTACAGTCATACAGTCAGAAGCATGTGAGGGTGAGAGAATTCACCGGAGCCAGAGGGGAGAGCAGAGCAGGCAGACTGATGAAGCACACTTCTGAGGAGACCAGCGGGCGGCAGGAGAGGTCTGCATGCCATGTGGGACCCTCGCCTGGCAGCCAGGGATCGAACCGGCACTGCAGAGGCTGCAGGCAGCTTCGCAACCCAGCACTCAACCGCTGCACCACCAGGGAGGCTCAAATGTGGTACTCTTCATAATTCTTTGTATTCTGACAAGCCCTAACTGCTCATGATCACCCTTTGACTCACCCTGTGTCTTTGACTCAAGGTAAGTTTTAACCTCCATCAGGCTCAGTTTCTTCATATGCACAGCTCAATGATGTGAATAATAAGGTAACATCATGATATGAATTATGCAACGATCCTAAAACGGTGCCTAGAACGCTCATAGAACATTAGCTGAATGAATGATGTTCACTTGCAATTCACTCAGTTAACTACAAGAAAGCACTGCTCTAAGTGTTTGGCACTAGCTCTAAAAGCCAGGCTTCAAAAAGGTGAAAGGAGCAGGAAAAGAGAGAAGACAAGAAAATAACAGAAGAGTTAACTAGTTTAAGAAAAATTAAGATTCTCAAAACATACTTTCCATCACTATCATTTTTGAGGAGAGGTCACTGTCACTTTGAAATTTTCATGTAGGCCCTCCCCTGGTGGCGCAGGGGTTGAGCGCTGAGCTACCAGGCTGCCCGCAGCCTCTGCAGTGCTGGTTCATTCCCCAGCTGCCGCCAGTTCGTTTGCGGTGAGGGTCCCACCAAAAAAAAAAAAAAATTTTTCATGTACCTCTCTACTCTGTCCATCAAAGCTGAAAGCATGCAAGAAAGGCAATGTAAGGGTAGCAGAGGGGAAGAAGGAATACAGTTATGTTATGTCCTTGTTTGGTAACCACACTTCTCCATGCAATGAAGGATCACATTTACACTAAGCACGACAGCGAAAAGTAGTAAATGCAAGCATTTACTTAAGTTTGTCTTATTTTAATAAACACCTGGCATTTTATTGAGTATATTTGGATACTGAGTATATCTGGCATATATATATATAAAAATATATATATATATTGATATATATATGTATATGACTTTAAAGTTAATTTTCAAATCCTATTTTACTCTATAGGGTCTTAAAATATTTTCTTTTCAGGCTTTTCTTATCATAAAAAAAAATGCCACGCTAAACAGTATATAATTTAATTACACTTTAAAATAACTTCCAAAAAAATTTACCAGATTTAAAAATGTTAAGATGCAAAGCATGAAGAATATATAAATATAAAAATATTACATTCCATATCCTGTATTTGCTTAAAGACTACCAAATACAATGTAATTGTATATGATAAGTTGCCATATAATGGAATATAAATTGATGGACCCAATTCAAACAAGAGACCAAAAATACACACACTTGAATAAGTTATTTCAGTTAATAAAAATGACTGAATTTGATTAACTCTATTTATGACTATTGAGTGCTTTGGTAAAATATCATCTGTAACAAACCAACCTTCATAAGGCTGACTAGTAATAGCTAAACAGTGAGTATCCCATTGCAACAAAAGAATCCATTTCTGAGGCTCCCACATCTCTTTAAAAATACATTTGAGTAGGGCCTCCCCGGTGGCACAGTGGTTGAGCGCTGGGTTGCGAAGAGCTCTGCAGCGCCGGTTCGATCCCCGGCTGCTCCCTGGCCACTGGAGGAGGGTCCCACATGGCGCGCAGACCTCTCCTGCCGCCCGCTGCTCCCCTCAGCAGTGTACTTCGGTCCTTCTGCCTGCTCTGCTCCCCACTCTGGCTCTGGTGAATTCTCTCACCCTCCCGCGCTTCTGACTGTACCCAGTGCTTGTATAAATAAATAAATAAATCTTTTAAAAAAAATGTGGAAGTGGAAATAAATCCAAATTTATTAAAAAAAAAAAAACATTTGAGTATTAGGCAGCAATAGGAACACTTACGAATAGCTGGTCAGTTCATCTAAATTGTTGTGCATATTAAATGAATACACTTCTCCTAAATGAAAGAGCTTCTCCAAAGCCTCATAGATGAATATTATGCAAATGAGAGCTGCAAATGCTTCTTCTGTAAATCGAGTAATATAACACACAAGGCTGCTTGCATCTGTTGCAACCAAAACAATGCACAAGAAAGAAGTCCACAGACCAATACTGGTTCTTAAAGACAGATAGGAAAGCTGATAATCTCTGTTTAGAAAGAAAAATGCAGAGATGGTTAACATACACAAGCATGACAGCATTTGTACTTAAAACTTCAAGCAATTAAAAACACTATAAAGACATTTCCAAAAAGAGTGAATTACAGAACAAAATAATGACTAAAAAAAGGTTTGTGTTTTTTTCCTACTTCAACTGTAAACTGGCTTCTTAAATAGACTTAATGGCTGTATTTTACTATTTATATAAAGATTTACAGTGAAAATCTACTAGACAATACATACTTTAAAGAAGATCTTTCTTTAGAAATGTTATGAGGAGTTTGACAGAAATTCACAATAGTTTATTCATTAAAGGATCAGTACAAGGAGTTTGACAAATCAAATGTTTAATAGCAGGAAGTTATTTCAGAATGAAAAATGCAAATGCATTTATCTCACAAATGAAATAGTATTGCCCATGTCAAATTCCAAGTCTACTAGCTATAGTATGTTGCATTAATTTCTGTACCGTGAACAACCAGGGGAAACGGACACCTTACTCTGACTGCTAAGATTCGCTCTATAAAACAGGCTCAACCGACAAGTCAACTTGGGCATTAGAAATCCATCTCTAAATTTCTTTTGTAAGATCAACATACCAACTAATAAAATTTTCATCAAGGTTATTGGGGTAGGGACAATGGCATACCTCAGAGTTAGGTCAACAACACAATAGCAAATGCCCTCCCCCCACAACACACACACACACACACCCCTTTCCCCTGGTCAATAACACAATAGCAAAGGCCCTCCCCCCACAACACACACACACACACACACCCCTGCCCAGAAAAATATTTACATCATTGATCAGATCCTCCTTTTCACTTATAAAAATAATGCACTTTTAACTTAAATTAATAATGATATATAATTACACATACATAAACACATGTGACAAGTAGATAACCAATACGTACCTGCAGAATTTAAATAAAATTTTTTCAAACACTAAAACTGGACCTGTGCTCCCCAATATTGTTAGAGGTTGCCCAGCAAACAATGAATAGGCAATCCCAGTTAATGATGCTCCAAAAAGAGACTCTATTGCACTCTGTTTAAGGAAAAAAATGAATAAAGTAATATATCATAAACATCTCTAACCTATATAACACATGTTAGACATCTGGAAAATAAAAAAAACTAATCAAGCAGTTAAAATATGAAGCAAACATAACTTTGTCTCAAATTTAAATTTTAAATACGAAAAGTCACAAACACATTTTAAATACATGAGGAAAATCAAAGTTTTCACGTATTAAAAATCAACATTGGCAATCAGCCTTCATTAACAACTCAATATAACGGGAAGCAAGGAGGGAGAAGTAAATGGAAGAGAGACACAGGGGTTTCAACCTTATCTAAAGATGTTTAATTTTGTAAACCTGTGGTAAGTACAAAAAGGTACATGTTATTTAATTTTATATCTGAAATAGCTCATTTTAAAAAACAAAACATACTAAATAATTGATATGGTATGCTACATAAGACTCCTTCAAATAGACAAATGAGAAGTTAACATGTGATCCTACTGTCAAATTAATTTCTAAAGAGCAATTTCCACACATTTTAAATAAATTAACTTGATAAAACTTAACCAATAAATATGAAAACTGAAATACTTAACATTAGTAAAATAGATGGAAAATCTGAGGAACTGTATCACTATTAAAGTTTAACTGAAAGAGAAAATGAAAGATCAAGAGAAACTCTGAATGAAAGCTAGTAGTCCAATTTTGGACCACTGTCCACATTCCATTCAAGGCTGTTAGAGGATAGCTAGCACTCGACAGAGAAGAGTGATCAGGAACAAAAGAGAAAAGTTTACTATTCACAAACATCGTGAACTGGAATGCACTTTGGACAAAGGAAAAGCCCACCATTCTGAAAGGCAAGGGGAAAAGCTAGTGAGAAAACAACCTTCTTGGAAGTGGCAGGCAGTACAGGCAAAGACCAGCGCTTCCAGAGGAGATCTGAAGAAGACTGGCTCCTACTAGGTGTTAACCCAAACTTTTCTAACCTAACTTTTCTCACTTTTAAACAAGGGTGGTGATAGTCAGGATGACTGAAGGAAGCAATGTTTATAAAAATACCAAGTGAGCACATTATCTGGCCTACATACTGAACTCGGTAAATGGAAGCATTTCTCATCAACAGCAATAACTGCATCTTCCAAAGTCAAAATCACAAAATAATAATATGCAGTAAAAGTATTATTCAACTATGAGTAGAAAAAGAGGATCACAGCACATAAAAACTTGACATTTGGCAAAATGAAGTGTCCATTTAACAACGTGTTTGTTAACTGTGTGAGTGAGATGCTTTTCTTGCCTATACATAGAATCAGGTTGTCCTAGAAGATACTGCTAAGTCTTGATAAAATCCTTGGCTCAATTAGGATATTCCTATTTAGAAATTAATTTAGACAGAGTTTAAGTCAAAGGGAAAAATGTCTGAAAGATATCTAAAGACGGAAAGCAATTTTCAGATAAGAAGATGATGACAAATACAGAAATGCTAACAGGGATCAGATGAGCACAAAACAATTGTTTCCCTCCCCAGCGCTGGGCTGACAAAGTAGAAACTGCCACACGAAGACCTCACTTTCACCACTAGCCCATTTTACCCGCATTTTCTAGTTCCTTTATCAGATCTAGTATCTTCCCCGAGGACTTTATGTTCCACTTCCAAAACAAAATCACAGCCCCACTCCACTGCGTGTTCCCCATTCTCCATTCATAAGCTTCAGTTTTATCCATGTAATCTTTTCTTCTAACAACCTCTGTTTTATTTATTTATTTTTTTTTCAAAATTCCATCATTTTGATTCCTCTTTAGAACTCTGATGGTGCTGTATCTAGTTTGGTGAGCCACATTCCTCCTTATTCTCACCCATTCTCCATTCCATAAATGTGGGTAACTGCCCATTTTTCCTCCTCCTCTTCCTACAAATTAGGTCCCTTGTTAACCTCATCTAATCTTAGTCTCAACCCTCACCTCCTCCGCCGTCCTCTACAAACTCTGGAACAAAACTCCTCCTAACATCTCCGTTTCTACCTGAATTTCCAATCAAGCACCTAAAAACGAACACATCATCTTTGTATCATTTGCCTCCATTGAACACCTGATTTCTCGGTTTCTGATAGTGCAACTCCTCCGGCTCTTCCTTTATCTCACTTGCACGTGAACAGCACATCATAACACAATAACCACGGTGACAATTATCTTATCTTTTTCACTGCAGTCAGGATCCTGAGGACAGACCATACATGCTCATCTTACACTTGTCTATATTCTGCCAGTGGGGACAGTGCTATCACATGCCCAGAGTCCCGAAGAGCAGGATGATGCTAACAGGCTGCGAGTGACAGTCAAAAGAGCAGAGGCAGCATGTCCACGGTGGTAACAGATGAGGCACATTTCCACGGGGACCAGCAAGAGTTACATGTACAACTTGTGACAGCACATAAAGCAACCTCCTAAAAACATGTAATTTTGATACACTGATTACAGAGTAAATCAAACAGAATCTGCATAATGAGAAATGAGTTGAAAGAAATTTCAATTAGACATATTTCATGTGCAGCTCATGGAATACTTTTATTGAACAGTGATCATTGTTGGTTATTTTTTAAAGTTTTATCTGAAGAAGGGAATTAATTTTTCTCCCAAAGGTAAACATAGTTAAATAAAATAGAATCATAAACCATCTCATTTAAATACCTTAAAATGTAGGCAAGCAAAAAGCATTTCAAGATTTTACAAAGCACCAGATTCTGTGACGTATTATCATACATCCCATAGTTCCCAATACAGTATTACCAAGAATTTAAAAAGCTTTACTTGCATTTTAGTCTTATCAAAAATTATGGATGCAGTTTTTAGTTACATGTTCCAAATTAAAACTTTGGCTACTTTCACACAAATTTAGTTAACAGCAAAATTAGTCACTCCTTCAATTATCTAGCATTTGTCCACGGTTACGTTTTCTTCTTCCAAATAGTCTATCTGGGTCTACCTGACAGACCTGATGAGTTATTACCAATTACACAGCTCCAACTAACCCTATGAGGCCTTACAAGATATGAAGCAGCCGTACTTATAAATTCCCCATCCATGACCCACCCAGAATCAGTACAGTTGGTCTCCCCCACCACCCCCAAAACCCACCCCTCCACAGAGACAATACAAGATTTTTACTCAATTTATAAAACCATTCATCCAGCAAGGCAGGATAAATTTTCTTTTTTTTTTTTTTTTCTTTTTACCTCAACTGTGCATCTTCTCCTGTTCAAATGGCTTCCCCAGGTTTTCCATAGCAATTACCTTGGGGGAAGTCTGCTTTGGGACAGGTTAATCATGCTGTGGGTAGACTCTTCAAATAAAAGTATGAATAGTGAGACAAATGCACACAGACACTTGCCTCTGAAGAGCTAAGAGCCTGGCCACTACCAATCTTTGTACTCACTATTCTGCCTTCTGTAGCTTCTCCAAGCAGCCCTCCAAAAGTGATTACAGGAGACATACAGGCACAGTATAGGAAAAGAATCGAGGCCAGGCACTGCAGACTTAATGCATCCTTGAAGTCACTCAAGAAAAAAGGTGTTTTCCTTTTGATGTCAAGTATCAAACCACCAAAAAGCCTAAATAGGTGAGATGAAACTCGTCAAACTGTACACTAGAGGATTCTAGCTAGTTCAAACTAAAACTATGGGCTAATAAAAGGCTGGTGCGTAGTGTTTTTGTCAACAAAAATTAATATCCTATTTAAATCATGGTATAAATCATTTAATCTAATCCACTGATGATAGAGAAAAGTCAGATCTCATTAAATTAAAAAGACATAAACATCTGTATTTTGTGGACTATATACTGAAAAGACTGCAGGCAAATGATTTTATATGAGTAAATAATTTGAACACCTATGTGCAAGGAAATGTACAGTAAAAATAGTATCTAACAACTCATTAATGAAAATGTGATAAACAATTCTGTCAATTATTATCTACATTATAAATCTTAAAGGCAAATGCAAAAATGCCAGGAAGGCAATTTAGAAATCTTAAGTCCCCCAAATACTTTAATATTAATATAGTGTGCTATATTAAAAAATTGATTAACTATTAAAATTAGTACTGTAATCACATAAATATTTCTTGTCCACGTAAAAAGCCTAAAAACTACTTCAGTGTTTTGAATATACTGCATATGTATTCATATTAGTGTGCATGTTAATAAAATTAAGAAGTTTAAATTAGTAAATTTAAATCCTTTATTTGCACAAGAAAGGCTTAATTTTTTAATATGTATATCAGGTTTTTGGATACATCTAACTTGAAAGCATTCTACTAAAATACAAGCACTGAGAGAGGCAGAAACTTTTTCCTGCTATCTCCAGTGTCAATATACTGCCTGAGACATAGCAGGTAGTCTATTAATGCTGGTGACAAATTATTAACTCATAAAAGTTTGTGACTCAGAGAACATATAATCATTCAAATCCCTGCTGGCGAAAATACACCAAAAAAATATTAATCACTTGTTTTCAAATGCTTTGGATAATTAAAACTTTATCATTTTAGCTTTTTTCAAGTTAAAATTGAAATAAATTCTAAAGACATAATGACAAGCAGAAATTGTCCTATAAATAACCTGAAGCAAGGGAATCAACTTGTAACAGTAAAGGTACCACTGATAAGAGAAAATGAAACCATCTGATCAAATCAATAATTTATTACTTAATAGCTTATGCGAGACTCCTGGGAAGCCATGCTATCAACAGGGCCTGTCTTGATATTTCTATGACTAACTCTATCTCAGTTTGAAGTTAATAACAACAGATAGTACTAGCAAAATACCCTTTCACACAGGGACAAAGTCTTATTTTCTATCATTTTTTACAGAGTCAATGAATTAATTGTGAGTTTAAGCTTCGCTAAAGTTTATATTCAATATGTCACTATTTATTCTCTTTAGGCATGTCATCAATCTCCCTAATAGTGTGTCTGTACATATGTCTTGGTTTCTTAAATAAATACTTAAGATCAATATCTTTTAGTTCCATGGAGACCACCAGCGTATAAAACAGCGTCCACATGCTTTTCTACAGTATGGAAACACCGTAACATTTTCTACTTTATCAAAATACATTTTAAGACAATGTTTACAACTGGCAATATTTCTATTCTTTATTCCAAAAATAAAATTCAACAATTTTTCTAATTAGGCAACCATCATTGCAATGGTTTAATCATGTTTGTCTACCTAATTTTATATTATCTCATAACATCAATGCTCATTAAGAGTTTAAACCTATGCACACACATAAAAATCACTGGTTATAATTCCTGTTGCTCCCATAATTCTCTAAATTAATATGAAACATTTCAATAAAATTCCACACCCTCTTCAAGAACCTTCTGTATAATTTTAACACATACTAATTTTCTTTAACATCATATGCCTACACAAAACGCACTTTTTTAAAAATATGAAAATACTATACAAGGTTTGGAAACACTTGCAAAGAATATTTATGTCTTTTTTCAGCAAATCAGTTCTTAGTCCCAAGAAGATAATCACACTGTATCAGTAATTGTACCCACCGTCCAGTCCTTTGTAACTCAGGCCCAGCATGATGAGCAGCCTCTTTAGGAATCTCGCCCGAGCTGGGGGCAGATCCATTGGGAAATACAGGAATCTTTCTCTTTTCCTGCATTTCACAAAAACACATATTCAAAATTCTGTTTTAAGAAAAGCTGAGATGGCATCTCCAATTAGAAGGAACATAAAGATCTCATAATGATTATCTAATCAGCACTTTCATAAAAAATGCTTTCTAAAATAAACTTCCATTTTAAATAAACTGCACTTTAGTATAGAATCTAAAATTTGTCTCTATTAACATTTCAAATTTATGATTGACTTACTGTATTTCATATTCCAATATCAAACATACTATAAAAAATATATAATATACCCTTTCAAATTACTACTCAGCAACTGGAATATAACTACCCAATAAAGCACCATTCTTTATTTTTTAAATATTGCTCATGTTAACTACTGGAAATTATACTTTACATGACATTAAGAAAAAAGTAAAACATCCTTTTTCTTTTACTAAAATACTTCCCTTATGATGTAAGTAGCACAGGAATTGTTTGTCAAACACATTTTCATAAAAACCAATTTTCATTAAATTTTACTACAAATTCAAGAGTACTATTCTCATGTTAAAGACTCTTTCCCCTTTCCTTGAAGAACAAAAAAGCAAACCTAATTTGTTACCTTCAGGTAAGAGGTCACTGAGTCTGAGGGAGAGAGAGAAACAATGGAGAGAAAAGAGGAGAGAAGGAAGGGATTGGAAGTACCTCAGTCAAATGCGCTGGTGGAAGTACAGATTTGTATACTACCTCTATGTTCAGTATTTATAGACTTATCTATCTTCCTGAGATTACCATGTGAAAAGGTCAAAATTAAAACTAACTTACATCTTAGTTCAAAGGGTAAAAAAAAAATTATGGAATTCCTATAAAATTAAAATAATGGCATGCACTACCATACCACAATTCGTGGGATACAGCAAAAGCATCATTCAAGAAAATTAATCACTTACATTTAAAAAAAAAGTGAAAGAAAGAAAATAAATAAATTACAAGTATCTAACTCTGGAAATATTTTAAAGAAAAAGAAAAGGAATATATGACAAGGCAGAAATTAAAATAGAAAACTAAAATTTTACAAAGTGAGAACCGAAATAAAACTTAAAATCTGTTCAATTAGAAAATTACGATAGACCATTAGCTAATACACAACAAAAGATATGAAAGATGGAAATTTCAGAAACTGGGGGCAATTTTATATATATACATACACACACACACTCTCTCACACGAAATTACATGAGACTATACTGAAAAACCCTATGCAAGTAAATTAGAAATAGGAAAATAGGAAATAGGAAAATAAAAATTTCCCAAAACTGACACCAGAAGGTAAAAATATATTGTCAAAGGAAAACAGAATTTAGCAAAACTCCAGAAAGAAAAATTTACACAAACCAGTTTCCAGAGTATAAGCAAGTTGTTGAAGTCTACCACACAAAAGATTCAAGTTAAGAAAATTTACAAAGGAATTTCTTGAAGTTCTTAAAACCGAACTATCACTTAAAAATATTTATATATTTAATTTACTTTATTTAAGAACACAGGAAAAGGAAAACGTACAATTTTTTTTATGAAACAAGTATGATAATTTTATCAAACTGTAGAGACTGCACAAAAATCTATGATGTATGATACAAATAACCAAAATCTAAGAAAACTACTAGCACTTTAAAGTTCAAGCTGGATTTTTCCAGCAATGCAGTGTTTTCATATTAAAAGACCTATTAATAAGATTTACCACAATTGATGAAATTCATATTCGCCACAGATATTTAAAAAAACCTTTGACAAAAGTCAACATCCATTTATATTAAAAATTTCAATAAAACAAGAAATTATGATACTTTCTTGACACAATAAAATGTGTATTTTGGCCCCAATGTTAGTAACTTAATGAAAGAAACACTAGGGATATTATCTATAGCCAGGAACAAATTTAGAAATGCCCATTTAAAGTCAAATAGTACTTACACTATTAGAGATTTCAGTCAATACAAGAAACATACTAGAGGTTAAAAAATTTGGAAGAGGGATAAAATTATCTCTTATTGCAGATGATATGGCTGAAAAACTCCTAAATACAATAAAATTAAGAAAAGTAACAGGATAAAAAAGAAATACACAAGAACAAATAGCTTTCATAGATATAAAAAATAATAACTGGATGATACAATGGAACAAAGACCTCATTTACAATAGAAACAATAAAGTTAAAATATTTCTGAACACTCACCAAGTGTCAATAAGAAGAACTTTATAATGTTTCTTAAGGACACAAAAACTAACTTGAAATAGAAAAATCAATTGGGGAGAAATATACCATGGTCTTGAACAGAAATATTCTCCCTCAGGTCATTAAAAATTTAACTGCCATCACAATTTTTTTTTTTTATTTTTTTGAGAATCAAGTTTTATTTCTGGAAATAGAAAGCTGATTTGAAAGCTTACATAGAAAAATAAATATGCAAAGGTAGTTAAGATGACTCAGTAAAAACAAGAATAAGAGACAGGACAAGAGCAAATCTAGGCTTATATTAAAATACACTAAAAAAGCCTCAGAAATTAAAGTGCAGAATTGGTCCATAATAGACCAATGGCAAAGAAATTCCAGAAATACAACTGTATGTACATGGAAATTTGGGAAATGATACAGTCAGCATTACCAATCAAGGGGAATAATGCTTAGCTTTACTATAAATGGGGAAAAGGCAGGCAGCAATTTAGAAAATAAAATACAGTCGGAAGCATACTCATGTATAACACACTAATGATAAACTCCAAAGGATCAACAAGCTATTTAAATGTTTTTAAAATGTGGTTGAGAGTGGGACAATAAATGAAAAATACTCAGGAACAGTCAACCTCACTAAGTATAGAAATGCAAAAAAAACTCCACCACATTAAAATACCTTATGTAGCAAGATGAAAGATATCAATCAGATTGACAAACACCCAAAAGTTTGACAGCACACTGTGTTGGTGAGGCTCATAATCATTGCAGCAGTCCAACCCAGTAAGGGGGGATTCTGGTAATATCTACTAAAATTAAAAATAAATTCCCTTGTGGTCCAGCAATCCTATTTCTGGGAATCTACTCTACAGATAAATCTTCACAAGACTAAAATGGGATACGAATATATGAGATGGTTTCTTATAGCAAAAGACTGAAAACAACTTGAGCTCCAGAAAAGGAAAAACTATGGTATATCCATCCCAAAGTGGGATATAACAAAACTATGCGAGCAAGAATAAGGACATTTCTGATTTTGTATGATTAAATCTCTAGGATAATTGTATGAAAAAAGGCAAGGTGCAACATTTATGCTATGCTAAATTTTGATATCGAGGAAGAAGTAATTTCATTTCCTTGTACTGAATAAAAACTAAGGATAAACAGAAAACTCTTAGCAATAGTGACCCACAGGAGGTAAGCATAGGGAGAAGACTGTACAGGGGACAGACAAGGTGGGGTTACAACTTCTGAGTGTACCTCTGCTTTATTTTTAATTTTCTGATGTTTTAAATATATAAACTATTCAAAAAAATTTCATTAAAAAGTAACTCAGAGAATTGTGTGAATTCTTACCTGAGAAGGAACACTTTTTGGTGGTTCTATACGTATAGAAGGATCCCACTCTCCTGGAGGTAGGACAGTTACTTGATCTAAAAACTCATCAATTCCAGATAAGAGATCATTTCTGTCCTTTGCTTTATAAGCTACATCATGAAAAATCTAAAGGAAAAAAAATTGAGTAAAAGGATTTTAAAGTTGAAAGAAAATTCTACATACAGTAAATCACTTTAGATATCAAGATTAAATCTTATCCCAGGCAGGTCTCCACCCCACCCTAAGTAAAAACTAGAAAAAAAACACCCCACTATTAGCATTATCAGATGAATTAACAGGTAACAAACAAAATTTTGAGATGTATTATGACAGAATAACTTAAATATGTGGTTAGATCAGGAAGCACCTATTAAAAACAATGGAAGAGTTTAAACTTAAACATAAATATATGAAAGCATGTCACTGATAATCTGAATGAAGGAAATGATATATTCAAGTCTGTATGTTTTGGGCCGTAAAGAGGAAAATACTATAAAATACCAACCCATAAAGTCCACTTAGTCACCAAAGAAACAAAGGTAGCAGAATTTAAGCCAGCAAAGAGGCAATAAAGATAGAAAACAGGTGGCATATTAAATACATAATTAAGATTAAAGACATAATAAATAGCTAAACTCACCAGAATCTGGTTTACTAACTGGTTGAGACAGGATAGAGAAAGGAGGTCAGGTCCAATGCGGGAGGGTTTCAGAGACCTTAGGAGGAACACATGGCAGAGATGTCTAGCAAGCACCTGACTATAAAATTCTCTCCCAAAGAGAGACAAAGGTCCTGATCAACACAGGCCATGGTCAAAGATAAGGTCTCCAAATGGAAGAGAGAAATTACAGAGGAGAAAAATGGAATAAAGGAAAAAGGACAAAGTCCTGATGAAAATCGTAAGGAATGATATTCTGAAATCCAGGATGGAGAAAATTTCAAAAAGGTGGTCCATAATTTCAAATGCACACGGGAGGGAGAAGGTGAGCCCCAAAAGTACCCACTGATCCAGAGAGAAAGGTCTTGAAGACCTTACCAAAGGCAAACAGTTCAAGACTGAATATAAGATAAAATAGTACAGACAAGGATAAACTTTTAAGTTCCACTATGACAGGATATCTATAATTTAGTATATATTATATGCTTCACAATACGCTTTCACTTCAATGGGTATTTTAATTACCTCATCAGTCATGAGAGTGGCTATTGATCTTCCAATTTCATGGTATTGTGGTGCCTTGCCTGCTGGACCCAACAGTAGAAACAAAAACCTAAGGAAACGTTAAGGTATGCAGATTTAAGAACAAATAATACATATACATAAATCTAGGCAATCACAAAGAAATCATTCGAAAGACAGAAATAACATTCAGACATCTTTTAAATGCCACCACAATCACTAAAATAAAATAGCAACTATAATAAAACTAAAATAGATCACAAAACTAAAATAAGGCATTAACTTTCTTCCACATTGTTACTTCACAGCTTCCTGAGGGTAAAAAAGCAATTAAGGAATTGAGTGTTTTAAAGTTTCCATCTTCTTATTTTGAACTTAAACTATTTTATCCAGTCTGTTTAGACCAAAAAAAAAAGTAAATTAGTACATAAAGTATATCCCAATCTTATTAAGAACCTAAAAGAAAGGTTTACCTAAGAAAATAGTTAAAATGTACAAAAAGTGGCAGAGCAAGATTTTAATTCCATTCTCTAGTGCCTGCACAGAACGTTTTATGTGTAAAATGATGAAAAAATTTTTAAACCAAAGTTCTTAAGATACCAAATATCTTACAAAGTTGTAACTAAAATTTATTTTTTAAAAGAATGCTTTCCTTTTCTTTTTTTTAGGCCCTGGGAGAAAGATAACCCTTTTATGCTCTAATATTCAAAGCACTTAGTATAATAATATTAACAATCAAAATGAACTTTTATTACTTGAAGCAATATACTCCTTCAACGTTTTTAGGTTTTAGACATGCTAGAAAATGTCCCCTGGAACTAACTCTACCTTGTCGGAACAGGGACCTCAGTCAATCCTGAGAGGAGCACAGCCGGGGCCAGTCTCACAAATGCAATTATAGGTCTTTCCAGAAAGTCTACTTCTCCCACCAGAACATTGGATGCCTCGGCTCCCGAAGGAATTTTTCTCATGAAATTCATGTCAACCTGTTGATAAGTAAATAAAAATTAAAAAGAGTTTATAGTCCTTTATAAGAATACTTAGAGAGAAATAAAGAAAAGAGGTTTTTGAAACTATTTACCAATCAAAACTTGTGATCTAATGGATGTGTAAATGCCAAAATTCTCACAAATATAAAGAATGGAGTAGACAAATACAAAAAAGCAAGCAAAACACATCTATCAAACTCCTATTATAACTCTCATAATCTTAACTACTTTAGAGATCTAAATTATCAGACATATAAACTAGAGAAAGTTTTTCAATGAATATAAGCACTATTCATTAGAAAGTATTAAGGACAAATATATAGTTCACAAACAATGGTTCATGAAATTATACACAGTGCTGTAAAACTTTCATTTCATGATTATTATTTAATCTTTGAAAAGAATTAATCCCTTTACATTTTACATATTTTTATAAGAACTCGGGAATTCCCCAGTATATTCATTAAGTGGAAAAAATTTCATTTATATTTAAAACTATATAGCCATTATTGGTATAGACATAGGATAATGCTATGTAATCAAATTAAGTTCACTGTGTATAATTACAAAGAAAAGGTTACAAACATAATATCAAAGTATGAGAACTTCTTCATTTATATGCAGTTTCACACAAGTCACTAAACAACCACTTACAGGGCTAACTATTAAAAGTAAAACCAGCACTTACAGCGGGCCTCTTGAGTCCCACACCCAGTGTGCCACAACTACAGTGCCAGGAGGCAGACTCCTGCCCAACAGGAGACAAGGAAGTGTACACAAGGATAGGCCAAATAAAAAAAAGTAAAACTGTGACAGAGGAACAAAAATAAACGGCATCTGCCATGGCTAGAGGAAATCTATAATGTAAATTAACTTATTTAACAAAAATAAATTGTAATTTAGTTACTGAATGCTTTTCACTATCTGAAATAATAGGATCATCAGTAAAAATATAATGAAGAATTTAGTAGATTTAAAAATACAACAGGCTTTCTGTACAATTGCGGCAACTAATATAAGGTTCTATATGGTATGAAGTTCAGCAAGGCTACAATGTAAATCATCATTTAAACTCCTTTTCTGCAAAATGTGACTTACAGATTTTGAATCATAAAATAAAAGACTTAAGAAAAAATGAATCTTACTTGAAATAATCACATTTGATAAAAATCTTACATTAGATGCAAAAATATTATAGTAAGTACCTGCAAGCAAATTAATACCATAAAAAAATTACAATGGCCACACAGAATAATTATTCAGAAGTAGTATTCATAAACAACATTTTAACTTGATTTACAATTTGAATTTGTAGCTTTTTGTCCTGTTCTATAAAAATGCTTTTTCTATTTCATTTACTCATCTACCGAAATAAATCATACTTAAGATGGGAGAGTTGTTTTCAAATCCATGCCTTTACCTACCCATGGGAAAGACAGACATGTTTCCCAGTGACATTCCATAAAGTACTGAAACCATAAGACAGTAATTCTGGAATCGCATTACAGCTGAGAAAAGGCTGAATCACTAATGCTGTAACATCATTCCCAGAATTAATCTTTCTACTGTGGTAGCTCCAGAACAAATGACTATAATTCAAAAGGTACTGAAGTTTCATGATATCTATGGGTAGGTATAGATGGAAATACCATTATTATTCACACAGTCTTATCAGAATGTCTAAGAACAGGAAGATGTAAATTTATTCAAGTCATGTGAGGTTAACAGTCACTTACAATTTCTGACCTTAAATTAACATCACATGCAAGTTTACAAGCCCCAATCTAGTAAAAACTTATTACCATCAAAGTTAATAAGGCCACACTGCTAACAAAAATTTCTCAATAAGATAATGAAAATTCATAGTTAATGATAGAATTACCTTGCTGAAGTCAACAGTACTGTTTTCTCTGCTTCCTCCACTTCCATTACCTTTAACTTCTCCACCTTTATTATTGTCCAAGTTTCCAGGTGCAGACTGCGGAGAGGCTAAAATACCTGTATTTAAGAACAAAATCCCAAATTAGTAAGGAGAAAATTCATTTTGTAGCCTGACTCTGCTCATACCCTGAAAGTGACAGTTTTATTAAAAGCAAATGTGGAAGGTCTAAAACAAAACAAACAAAAAGGTGGCAGGTGTTAGTACCATACTAGCAAGACTAGAATAAAATTATAAGCAATAATGACGTTACTGAAACATCTGAAATGATGTAACTGGAATTTACAAAAACAGTGGCCTTTTGCAAAAAGAGAAAAAGTGTGTGGGTGAAGAACCACAGAAGATGGAACACCTGAGTCTGATTACCACTACAAATACTTAGGGAAAACAATTTTACTATTTGTGATATACATGTGAACTACAGAACTTAATGATCCTAGCTACACTTAGCATGCTTATTAATATGACAAGATAACATTTCCAATAAACCCTAAGTGTAACGCAGAAAATGTAGGGACTACATCAACTAAACTGTCTTCAAAAATCATAATGGTTTCAAGATTTTTCATGTACCTTGGGTAGTATGTATGTGCTGCCTACTGTCTTTATTCCTAAGAGATACAGTACAACTCTGAACTAAAATAGGGATGTTTTTACAATATATACAAAGTAAAGGTTTTATAACGAAACAGATCTGTACTGAAGTAAGCACTCTTTGCCTTTTTGTAGCTTAAGTGATTTAAGTAACTCACCTAATCTCTGTGATTCAGAGAAACATAAAATTGGTTTTTTTGGATTATAAATGATAGATACCAGCCAAGCATTAGTATACTCATTTCAAGTAACATTCAGCAGGAACACTGCACAATAAAATAACCTACAAACACCCTATAGCATAAGACTAATCATTACCACTGTGAATTGTGCAAAAAGTTCAAATTAGTTCAAGAACACAATACAAATTTCTACCATTCAATGTATCTCCTTTTTTTTTCTTTTCAAAACACCTAAGATTTTCTAGTTCAAGAATAAATTACCCAAAACACTGGGTATCACCAAAGAAAAAGATACCAGACTGAGTAACAACAGATTATACTCTCAATGTAACTGCACTCACAGCATCTAGTGACCCACAGAAATTCAATTCAATTCTGTTTGTAGTTAGAGCCTGTAAACTTGGAAGTTAATACCAGCAATTAAGTTCCAAAACTTTAAGCATGTCACATATACTTGATATGAGTCTAAGGGAGTTTAACATTTGTCTAGAATATAACATAATTCAACTATCAACTAAAACTAACTCATTTGGGTTTACTGTGTTAAACTCAGTGACAGAAGACCTGTTCAGAACCTGAGTTAGGATGTTACTGTAACTTAAAAATCTCAGTATTTAAAACATTTACAATCTATTTAGCCACATGGCTCATTCTCTTGAAAAGTTAAACAATTCTGAAATAAAAGCCGTTTCCTAAAATTAACTTATTTTTACCACTTTAGTTTAACAGAGAAAAGTTACTCATATTCCTGTTCTTTGACCTCTGTCCCCAACTCCCATTAACAGAATTCACTCTTTATTAAATACATGCCCATAAAAAAACCAAAAAACAAAAAACAAATGAACCAGTATGTTTCAGTGGCTTTCATCAACTCCCACACAGGAAAATGAAGAGTTTCACTAAGGCCCTAGCAGCAACTGCATCTGAGTATCAATACACTAAAACATACTCAATCTTTAGATGTATAATCAAAAGAATACAATTTCCCACAACAGTCCCAACCACACATTTTGAGAGGAGATTGGAGTGAGGAGAAGGCTGTGGGAAAAGTAAGGTCAGAGTAGTAATGGAAAGAAGAGATAATGTGGACTCAAATACTGACAAAGCTAGAAGTTGTGACCTGAAGTCACTGGGTTAACGTGATTATCTGAACCTGTTAAAACGTACATACCTCCTACATGTCAAGTGTTTTACACTATTGCCTTCTCTATGTAAACCTTCCCAATCTCAACTAAGTTGAAAGTTGCACTTTTAATCAGTAAAGGAAGTCTCCTGCTACCATAATTTTTAGTGCTCAGACTTAAATGAGCAAATCACTAAAAATTAAACTATTATTGGCACAGCTAACTCTGAAGAACCGTATTTCTCTGCTTAAAAGGCAAACTAAAGTATGAGTTTTTTACAGATTAAAAAAAAATCAATACGGTCATTTAAAAAATCATACTCTGACACATCTATTATTTTGCTCTTACTTATTCCCCTCGGATACAATAACAGCTCTAAGTAGAGAAAGATAAATAAAAGATTATCAGAGTTTTGTTTCATAAACAGATAATACTATATAGCTGTCTCCATTACTATTCTTCAGTGATTACATACTTCATAGAGAAGTCTTCTAAAACATTACTGATTTTTTTTTTGTTTGTTTTTAGAAATTCCCTACATTCCCTTCATTCTAATTTCTTTTCTTCGTAAAGGCTGACATATCACACAACACACTTAAAGCAATAGAGAAAAAAAATTCTTCAGTCTCAGTTAATTGTTCCTTTTATCTCCTTAACAACAAGGCCTAATAAGCTATTGTGAGCAGATACATCTCTATCCTTACTACAAATGACTTACAGTCCCTAATTATTAATAACACAGAAACTGGGCCTCCCCTGGTGGCTCAGCAGTTGAGCGCTGGGCTGCGAAGCTGCCCGCAGCCTCTGCAGCACGGGTTCCATCCCGGGCCGCAGGGTGAGGGTCCCACATGGCGAGGCAGACCTCTCTTGCCACGCCCACTGCTCCCCTCAGCAGTGTACTTGTTAGTCTGCCTGCTCTGTTCCCTGCTCTGGCTCTGGTGAATTCTCTCACCCTTCTGTGCTTCTGACTGTACCCTGTGCTTGTATAAATAAATAAATAAATAAATAAATAAATAAATAAATCTTTAAAAAAAAAAAGGAAAACAAAAAACCACAGAAGCTGGTAAAGCAAGAAATAGTATTACTAACCAATATTGGTAAAAACAATGCAAGGAAGGAACTTAAAAATAATTGTTCAAGGAAAATAGTAAATCTTGCAGGTTCTTTTTTAATTAAAAGTACTAATTATTTCTGGGTATTTTTCTCTCCTTTTAGTTCAGTTACCTCACCATTGTGCTATAACTTTTTTAACTGGCAAAATTTACAATGTATATACTCGGCTATAGATTCTGTTGCAAATAGATCTGATCCAATTTTTAATTCCAGGCACATTATCTTAAGTATAACCTTAACATCTCATGGTCTTAGTTTTCTTCACAGGGCTAACAGGAGCCTCATAAATTGTTAAAAGAATTAGAAATATGCTATTTGAAAAACATACATAGTACATAGAAAAGCCTATACAATGTTACTTTAACTATGATCATCATTAATGTTACAATGATTTAGCAACAAATTTCCACTTTATACTTCTAAAAGCAAATGTCTTTTTGGCACTATTACAAGTTTTTGAATAAATGCATCTGATATGCTTGGGGAAAAAACAAGAGGGTGAGGTTTGTCATATAGTGGTAGGAATATGAGGACATTTAATCAGAGATGTAAACTGTCACAAGCTGTATGACCTAGTTATTTAAATTTTCTGTGTTTCTGAAAATGGTGTCTGCACGAAACTTACACAAATTTTTATACATGTTAAACACGTTAATTTAATACCTGCAAGCTACCATTTAAGTGTTAGGTATTATGAGTATTATGGAGAACTATGATAATGCTTATGTTAAAACCACTACAGTTAGCATTCATATATGCCACATTGATGCTTAACTGTCAGTAAATAGTAGTCACTAAAGAATACTTTATATGACTTCAGTGGAAAAACATATATACATAGATGTACAAATAATATACAAAACTTAAATCAGTTACAAAGAACATCAGATGCTATTTTTTTAGGAAAGTTAAAAGCATACTGTATTCTTTAAATGAAAGCACAAAAATTTAGATGAAAGGCACATCACCTCATTATAATTTATATGTAATATGTGTTCATTCATCTTATGAATGAACATGCACAAAAAACCCACAATTTTTTTAAAAAACCATGGTAAACTGAAAGACTGTAAGAATTTGCTTTTCGGAACCATTCATATTTCTTGACCTTTAATATCTCAGTAAAAATTTCTGAAAGGGCTTAATTTATATGTAGTCTTCTTTATGTCTTTTTATAAATTAAAACATTAACATTTAATAATTCTATTCTCTTTATTAATACTACGAAGGAAAAAAACATGCAGAAGTCAAAATAAATTATAAGCATCATCTACATATGCTGCCAGAGCTACGTGCTGTAAAGCATTCCGAATGCGAGTGATCCAGAGGCAGAAAGCACCACACATGGAGGATTTTGGATAGTTGCCTGGAGTTAGGTCAACATTTTCCTCAATCTTCTGTTCCTGGCCTTTCAACGCTTCTAAGTCTTCCTCAGGTGGATGGATTACTACTGTGGGAATATCATCACTGGCAGGTGAAACCAGTAGTTCTGGGGCCTGAGGCTGACTCTGCTGGGAAGTTCTGGAGGCCAGGCGGCTGGTGCTAGCACTGGAAGGAGGGCTGTTTTGAGGGGTGGGAACTGGGGTTGTACACCTTGAGCCTGCAGAGGTTCCAGCTCTTGAAGAAGGAAGAAGATGACTGAGAAGAAGAGATAAAGGCGATTCTCCTCTCAATGAAAGGTTTGAGGCAGACAGACCTGTTTGCAAAGAGTGACGGGAGGCTGAAAGGCCATCCCCTGAGATAAAACAAATAAATGAAAATGATGAAGTTCACTGCAGAGGGCAAACAGACACACAAAATATCAACTTATACTGTAAATTATAAGCTTTGATTAAGGTCCCATATTTCAAATTCATGCTGTCAGGGTTAGCATGGCAATCAGATTTTTATATGTTAGAAAGTCATTGAAAAGTTGGTTAAACTCTAATTGGTCCCCTGAAAGTATATCCAAAAAAAAAAAATAAACAAAACTGATGTTAATGCTGCATGGTAGGGAAGGTGGGGAACAATATTCTGTTAGTAATTAGAATGCTCAATAATGTGGCTTAAAAAAAAAAAGAACATGATCAATGCAAAGTTATGATTAGATAAGAGGTAAATAGCAAATGAGAAAATGAAAATAATCTAAGAGATAGAATGCAAAACAAAACTTACCAGCATCAACAGTTTATATTTAGTGTGTTTTTCCTATATTGTACCAAACCACTACAGGAAATTATCTCTAACAAGAAAAGTACATAATAATATTATCTAGTAATTCCTAATTTAAAATTGATATTAAATTCTTAGTAAGTCAACAGGGAAATCACTGCTCTCAAGTCAAACTTGAAAACCTGGAGAAAATTTAAGAATTTTTTTAAAAAGAGAAACTGTCGGTTTTAAAGGATATACTTGAGCTCTCTAAAAATAGTAATGTATGTGCTAAAATAATGCTTCTCATTTCCAATACAGCAGATAAATTTAACCAAATAGATAGCCTTTCTTTAAATAGATCAGAATAAAGTATTTCTCACCAACAATAGCAAAAAACCACGAAGTCTAGAACACCAAAAGATCATATATAATTGTACTTCACATGCCAGGTTTTTCTATTAAGTATACCTTAATGCAGTAACACTGCTTTTTGTAGGAAAAACATGAGAAATACAACCATCCCATATGGTCTAATAGCAAAGTTATATAGTCAAAATTTCAGAAATATTAAAAATAAAGATTAACCTTTAACCTGTAACAACCGTGATTTGGTTAGAAAATACCCTATCTGCAGAAAAAAACTGTTAAATTACAACACTAATACCGCAAAATAACAGGCACCAATGCTAAAATAGTTTTTGAAAGAAATCAGCTATTGTCTTAAGATTAAAAGGAACCAACTGACAACTGGGAACATTGTATATGATGAATAATCAGGGAACATTGTATATGATGAATAAAGATTTTATGAGCTCTTTTTGGGTAAATGAACTTATTTCGCAGGAGTAGAGAATATGCAGTATGTGAAAAATGAAAGAGGTAAAATATGAGATTTTTTAACATTGAACTTAGACTCCCTAAGATTTATTTTTAATGTTTCTTACCTATATGAGGATATCATTTGAAACAAAGTAAAAGAGTTTTAATGGTCAAATGCTCATAAGAAAATAAGCTGCAAAAGATGACTATTTTGGACTTCAGATGTACTGAACCCCATCACCCAGGGCTACTTGCTTTCAGAGCACTTGAAAGCTGGAATCGGAAGAAAGACCTCATGGCATCCTCCACTTAACCCTTCACTATAATGATCACAGCCTTGGTAACGGTAACAGAGGAAACAGTGACCCTTTGCACCCACGTTTCCCATAGTCACTGTCAGCATAGCTCTGAAAGTGAGATATTCCTCAGATTTAGAAAGAATAAGGAGAAACAAAACCTCCATCTCTGCCAATCTTAAAGCAGTAAGAGCTAAGTCTCCTCACATCCTACAGAATCCACCACTGACCTGTGAATGGGTGGGGAACTGGAATATGTGGGTCTGTGCCACTGTGCTTGGAAGACATCAGCTAAGTTACCCCTCGCATAAAATTGGAATAATCACAAAAACCTTTCACAAACCATACAAATAAGGGGTAATAAAATCAGCAAGCCAACTCAAAACCACTTGTTTATGCCTAGCAAATAATGCATATTCAGGAGACTTAAAAAAAAAACATTACTAGAAAAAATATTAAAGATACGAAGTTTCAAACTAAAGATAAGGAATTTGAAAAATAAAATTTATTAATCCTAATTTATATTTCTTTAATCAAGAATATAAGAATTCTTGAACAGAAAAAACAAAAAAAAACCAGAAAGGGAAAGTAATTCAGGGTTATGTCAAGTGATAGCATTTAAATATTACCAACACTTAAATGAAATTAGTTGGTATCATTTTAGCAGTCAATGCTTAATTTTGTTCACCTCAAAGATTTCCAAAGATAAATCTATCATGTTGGAAAGAAAGACATTTTAGAAATGATATTTTTAAATGTACAAATAACACTATTATTTGATTTTCAAAAAAAAAAAAAAAAAAAGATAACAAAATGAACTATGAAATTACCTAGGAAAATGTGTCTTTCCCCAAGGGCTAATTGTAACAAACTGGAATGCTGTTAGAGTAGAAGTGTTAGCAAAAATTGGATGCCACAACTTATCTCACCATTCCTTTCAAGCAAGTGAGGGTCAGAATGTTTCTTGCCTATATCTGCAAAAGATCGAACCAGGGGAATCCGACTGGTGAATCTTTTCTCGTTCTGATGATGATGTCTCTTCAGAAGAGCTTCTCTGACATTCTCTCTTATGGACTCATCCAGCTGGCCAGAAGCTATCATGTTGTCCAGCACCATATCTATTCAAAGGAAAAAACAGTAAGTCAGTACTATGAAATAAAGCAATAATAATGTAGAATAAATAGTAAGTGAAACCTCACAAGAAAATAAATCCTTAAGTAGCTCTAGAAAGAATTTATTGTCATTTTAAATGGTGTATTCTTATGACAAATATAAACATTATCCAACAAAAATGAAGAAATGAGATGCTCATTTCAATGAATACTATTATTTATAGACTACTGTTAAACAGCTGAAATTGCATTCCTGATGTAGATACAATAAATTCTACTGAAATGAATATTCAGTAACACTGACTCCCTAAGAAGTGAAGGCATTTTATTGCTCCACCTCATATTTTCCCTCAGAAGTGCTCTAGCAGATGAGCATCATTCATTCAATCATTGATTTGCTGAGTACCGGCTATGTGTCCAGACTACAGCAGTAAACACAGGTGATCAAGCTGCTCTCACTCTTCCCAGGTGGAGAAACCAATGAGCACATGAATAGATAAATTATCATGAAGTATTAAGTTCTAGGAAGATAAATATGTCAGGTGATAAGGTGGATCTGGGAAGTGGGAACACTGGTGGCAATGCCTTTCTGTACATTGTCGCGATACGATGACTGGGTTATTTTTAATTTATGAAATACAACTTTTAAACAGTACTAGTAACTTGACATGAAAGAATCAACCTTCAAAACTGATAAGGTTACTCTGAAAGAATACCAGAAGGAATCAACCTAGCAAGTACACGCTAATATGAACACACTAACTAGAGGCTACCAGACACGTGAATGGTGGTATATACAACATTTACTGAATTATACGTGACAACTACAAATCAAGGTAAGACATTTATGTCCAAACTGAATAATCCTAACCCTAACTCCATTTTTCCATCATGTAAGACAAGAATGTAAAGACTTTGGTCATTTAAAGACTTGCAGTATATGGTCAAATCTGACAATCTGGTAATATTGAAGGGCTTCTGGTCTGAGAATATCTAGTAAGTTTATGACTCTCTGTAAAATCAAATACCATAGACTTTCCATGGGACCAATCTATGATGGTAATCATGCTATCAACTTCACTGAAATGATGATTCACTCCACTGAAATGATGTAAATTTTGAAGAATTTTAGTTAATGGCCAAATAGCTTTAACATAGCTATCTTTTTCCACTTTCCACCTCCAGAGAATCCTTCAAATTTCTCTTTCCTTCATTACCATCTACCACAGTTCTATACAGAACTCTGGCTGCCATCATTTCTTACTGAGACTATTCCCAGTAGAGTAACTGGCTCACTTGCTTCTAACCGCCACTCACCCGAAAGCCACACTATACAGAGCTGCCAGGACGACACACCTGGTGCACAGCTACATCACACAGCTCCCACGCACACATCTCTGGGTGCCAGCGGCCCGCCGAAATATAGTCCAACTTCTCAGTTCAGTAACTATTATAATTCATCTCTAATCTGTTGCCTCAATGTATCTCCTATTATTCAAGAAATCTGTATATACTCACATGAGACTTTCCTGAGATTCAGACCTGTCTATAGTCTCTAGATTTGCCCTTCTTTTCCTCCTCCTTAAAATAGTTTTTCACTCTTGTGGCACATGTTCCTTGTTCTCAGGGTAGGTTGTGTAATTAATGTACCCTGGATCTTCCCCAGATACCTGGTCCAGAAAGCAAAGCAGCAAAACACTCCTTCCTCTCCATTTCCAGAGAACAAAATACATTCCTTGCTTACAGACTAGTTATTTTCTTCCTGATACTGCAGTTATGTCTAACTTAAATCTTCTTGATTACAGATTTATCACAGACAAAAAGTTTTAAATATAGGTGTAGTCCCCACCTGTCCTGCACAGAATGGAAGCTCAACACACAGTTGTTCAATGGTCTGAAACGCCACTTTCTTTTCCTTATCTAAATATCCCTAATTTCAGTACAACTTAAATATAAAAAAGGTCAATTTGCTATAACCTGCTATTTCGTCTAGAGTGCTCGCTCTCATGTCCAGCATGACTGTTCCATTGAGGATGCAACTTCTTAGTTCAAAAAGACTGTGCAAGGAGAGAGTCGCCACATAAGGTTTACTCCACCGGTCACCGCCATCTTCAACATCCTCTTCAAACTTCAGCCATCTGAAATAGAAAATATAAATAGTTTACATAAAATGACAATTTAATTTGTTTTCAGAAATTAAAGACAAGAAATTTGTTCTTTTAAAATTTCACTATTTGTTCTTTTAAAGAGAAGTAAAGATAACTATCACCAAAACAAAATTTAGCTACATTTTTACAAATTAGGTTAGTGGTCTACAACACCTACAGTCTCAAGTTATCTCTGAAGTTTCCTCTTTTTATCCTAGGTATCACAGTAAGTCAACAAAAACAGATGTGGAACTTCATACTTTGAAATTCTAATTGTCTTTTAAAACGATTTTGATTTTTCAAACTTACTTGTCCAATTAAAGACATGAAAATCTATGATAATTTCTTTAGTGTTACAATCAAGGATTAAGGATTACTTAAGGAAACAAATTTTGGGGCAACGAGAAAACCTAAAGATAGAATTTCCAGGTATGAGGTAATTCTCTGTTCACTGTTTTTAAACCACAAGTTCAATTATATATTCTCATTATAAAAAGAAATCAAGTAAAGTCAATTGAAACTAAAATGCAGTGTTATTACCTGGCAGTTTCTTTCCACTCATACTCTTCTCCATCTCTATAACACAATTCATCCATTTCCGTGAAGAGATCGTGGGGAATATGTTCTTCATCATCATCTTCAGTACCAAGGATAAACTGAACTCTCTGGGATGGTGTGTCTGACAAAATAAGAATTTAGATAGATTCAAAATTTTCCTCAATTCATTAAAACACAAATTCATAGTTTTGAAAGTAAAATGCTTGGTATAAAATACATCTATTCCATCAACATTCTTCTCAAAATTATTAAAACGCCATTAATTCTAGAAGGTAACAAGAACCAACAATACAGAAAAAAGAGTAGCATAGAAAGATCACCTTGTAGACAGAAAAGAAAAATTGTATGTTTATAGTAAACAGTGAAATTAGTCTTACAACTGATGTAAAATAAATAAGCCAATATCCAAAACCCTGTAACACTATGTTTAAAGACATGACTTTTTTTCTCTTACCAAAAAAAAAAAGAAATATTAGATTTACAGGAATCCTGTCCTCCCACAGATAATCAAATCAGAGCACTCTTTTCTTCTTCTTCTTCTTCTTTTTTTTTAACCAATAACCAAGAAACCCAGCCTAGTGGATAAAATATCCTGGCATAAAAATGTTTAAAAATGAAAAAAGTTTCAATCATTTCCAAGAGCCTGAGGATTTCACATTTATGTGTTCACTGCATATTTAAAAAGTGAAGATACATAACGAAGGAAATAAAATACCCCCAGATTGAAGTTTAAATGTCAAGACTTAAATTTATAATTCTAAGGCAAGAATGCAATGAAAAAAACAAAGCTTCTTACTTTATTCCACATATCCCAAACAGATCTTAACTATAAACTGAATACTTTTCTTACAGAAAAATATTCTTACTTCAGTTAGTATTCCTCAATGCATATAATGTGTCAATTAATGCAGCAGGCATAAAATTTTTAAAAAGAAATACTCAATTACAAAAACTTTTCAGGAAAAGAACCTTAAACTGTTAACAGAAAACCACTGTTTTCTCTTACCATAAGAAGGAGATTCCCGTCCATCTTCTTTATCTGATTCTTTATCTTTTCTTTTCCGGTGATGATGTTTGTGTCCACGATGCCGATGCCGTCGACGACTCTCTTTACTAAATGGGACATGGACACCAACATACACAGCTCGATGACCTAGCAAAAAGTTTGGAAACATGTCATGGTTTGCCAAAAGGGGAAAATAATGATTGCATAAAAATATGCCACTGTTTACTCGAACAACAATGAAAGAGATAGAAGTTCATGTAGTTATCAATGCTGGTCTCCTATTATTTCTCTTATTTTTTGAAGTACTACACAGAAATGTTACACCAAGAACTAATACCACTGACTGATAAATAGGTCGGCTCCACAGGCTACTTGTGTAAGTATCAGTCTACAAGTCCAAAAAAATCTTTTGAAAAGAAAATAGCTTGGTCCATCTGAAAGTCATATGATGTAGACATAAATTAATTCCATCTACATTAATGGCCCATTAGCAATCTAGCCAGGCTGGATAAAAAAGCAATGCAATAAGGCTATCATATACTTTTAGAATAGAAAGAGCTACTACTGGTGTTGCAGCATGCTGACCAACAAAGCAGTTGTTTATGAAAGACAATCTTTCCTTTTTCCCACTAAATGAAATTGAATCAAGGACCGAGAGAGTGAACAGCACTATGTTAAATACTGAGGGGCATGAGTTTGATTTCTTAAATAGTTTAAAGGAGGTTCTTATGTAAGCTACACTGTATGAAAGGTAGACTACAAGAATTATCAACTATGTAAAAAACATCTGGCATAGTGCTGCTTTTATGCCCTTAATATAACATAAAAATATACTAAAGTATGAACAATGACATTTTTTTCCCTAACAAATTTCATTAAACGGTGAGAAAATAAAATACTTCAAGAAAATCATTACCTTCATCTTTAGAAGAGATATGAAAGTAGAACCAATCTTCATTACTTGTGGATTAAGTATCAGCAAATTTGCTGACTCCCTAAAATTTATTTGCAACACCACAATCAACAGTTGTGATGATTTCTCAATCATTTACAAACATGCACAGATCAGTAAAAAAGTTTTCTGATGCCCAACTAAGAATGAAAAAGGGGATGAGACTCTGACTAGTTTCATATGCTAACATATTAAAGACAAGTAATCACGGGGCCTCCCTGGTGGCGCAACGGGTTAAGCACTGCACTCCAAAGCAATCCGCAGCCTCTGCAGCATAAGTTTGATCTCCAGCCAGGGAGCAACCCACATGGTGCAACAGATCTCTCCTGTCTCACCCGCTGCTCCCCTCGGCAGTGTGTTTCAGTCAATCTGCCTGTTCTGTTCCCTCCTCTGTCTCTGGTGAATCCTCTCACCCTCCTGCATCTCTGGCCTGTACCCCAGCTCTTGTGTGCATAAATAAATAAATCTTTAAATAAAAAAAAAAAAAAGACAAGGAATCCTTTAAAAGATGACTGACTAGACTTATTGGAAGACATAAAACAGAAATTATTTGTTTAAACATCTCCAAAACCCAGCACTCTGCTTACTATGTGATAAGCACTCAATAAAAATGTACAGATATTAAATACCAATTACTTAAACAAATTTTATTAGAAAAGCCCAAATTTAAAAACCAATTATGTAAGGTAGTGGAAATGCTCTGGAATTAATAGTAGTGATGGCTGCACAGCATAGTAAATATACTAAAAAACTATGAGTTTATACAATTGAAAATGGAGGATTTTGTTATGTGAATTATATCTCAATAAGTTAAAAAACTTTAACAGAACTTACTGATCTTACAATTTTATTTTAATCAAACTCTTCTGCATCAAGAAAAGTGGAAATCAGAGAGTTAAACTCTTGCCATTGTCCACTGGGAATTAAAAAGTTGTTACTCCAATTAGTACTAATAATGGGTTTTGGCAAACAAGCCCCAGTGCACCAAGACAAAAATAGTCTATGAGTCTGTAACTTAGAAAGCCCAGATAAAATCAATAAGAATATGGCAGAATCTAAAGGTTGGGAGAGCAAGTCTTATTGTTTTCCTGCATTTATTATCACCCTGTGTTTTAATTTTTCCTTTCCCCTTTACTTTATTCCATCAAAGGTCTATTCAGTTAAGCTCTAAAATAAACTTAATCTCTTCCTCAAACTTGATGATGAAATTTAGATAGTACAAAGTATGCAAAATGAGAGCCCTGGGGTAACAAAGAATGCCAAAGAACTGCCGACTGCCTCTCTTCAAGGCTCAGGTCATATATAATTGAGAGATGACATTAAATAATAATGGATGGAATTAATCACTGTATACGTGAATTAATAAAATTATTGCTAAAAATTTTATCCTTGTTAGTCTTTATAGTCAGACTCTAACTACAAATTTCTAGAGGTTACTGAGATTCTTTCCAGAAGGCCTAGCAAGTCTAGACTTTTAAAGGTTATTTTAAAAGACGGAACTTTTTATATTGTTGAAAGTAAATGTAGAGAGCACTTATTTGTAGGTCTTTCCATCTCCTTTTTAAAAGCAACAGAGTAATGTTCCCATCAGGTACAAGCTCTCTCAAAGGACTTTAGAATGTAGTTCTCAAGAAGACCCAAAAATGAATCTATCAAAACATTTGCTAGGAACACTACCTTATCCAAGTGTTCAATAAGTCATACTGATATCACATGTCCACATATACGATACATGAGAAGAGCAAGTCACTTATGTGGTATGCTCCCCAAATATCCACAATCTTGGACTATTTGTATAACATTAGACAAGCACAAATTAGATGCATTTTAACAAAGTATCTAGCCACCATTCTCCAAAGCATCATGGTCATGAAAAGCAAGGAAAAGCAGAGAAACTATCAGAAACTAAGGAGACATGACAACTAAATAGACTACTGGATCTAGAATTGTTCAACTGAATCATGGAACAGAAGAGATCAGCGGAAATGCTAGTGAAAATCTACATCAAATTTGTAGTGCAGTTAATATTATCATACCAATGCTAATTCCTTCATTTTCAGCTTATGATAGTTATGTAAAATGTTAACACTAGAAAAAGTTGGGCCAAGGAGATACGGGAACACTCTGTACAATCTTTGCAACTCTTCTGTAACCCTAAAATTATTTCGAAAGAAAAAAATGGAGCCATTTGCCAGAATTTCTTCCTGCTAAGAGAAGATAAGTTGCCAAAGACATTTGTTCCACACAATTCTATGCTGAGGTTGTTACAGCATTTTAAAAGGCTGATTTGAAGTCACAAACCTATAAAATGAACATTTATATAACTGTGGCTTATTAGCGTGACACTCTAATTTGCTCATAAATATCAATTAGCTAGCCTTCCAGAAAAAAAAAAATACATACGTATATGTGTGCGTGGGTGTGTGTGTCACACACGCACACATATACATATAATGAGCTGTATTTGTAATGGTGACATTTCCATTTTCCAAGTAACTAACGGTAACCATAAGTGAAGTTTTTTGAAAAGCATTCTGAAATCTGTATTATGCCAATACTTTCAACAAAGAACAACTAATCTGGGAAAGTTACATTTTCAGATATGGGTGAGAGTTAAATAGGCCTTTGCTATATTATTCTTTAAACAACATTCAGAAACACTTGAACACTTCACAAAGCTTAAGTTAATTTTAAACCAGACTTACTTTCTAGTTCTTCTTTTTCAAACTTGGTGTTCACAGTTGAGCTTGTTTTGCCAAGATCCACAACAGCTTCTTCATCTGGACCCTGTAAAAATGTCATCCACATTCACTCATGAAATACATACTGAGGACCTAACTAGAGGTAATATTTATAATAACCAAAAAATATAGACCAGATTTTTGTTTTCTTAAAGAACTGAATTCATTTTATTGCTTAATTTCATCCTTTTTGAAAGATGCTTCTAGGCCATTTTTTTTTTTAAATCCACAGAATACTTATTCAAAAATCTCATGGTAAGAATTGGTAATTATCGGAAGTTACTAAATAACAGGTACATATATTCACTTCAATAGAAAGCATCTCTAATCAACAACTAAAAAAAATCTGGGGTGAGAGGTACCTTTAGAAGTCAAATCAATATAGAAAGCTTTCCTCCGTGTTTTTTACTCCGAGGTCCTCTAATTAAAAGGAAACACTTGAAATCCAAAAACAGATCTACAGACCGAATATGCAGTACCACGTTCACTTGTAAGCTAGCCAAGGGTAAAAGGTTTCTGTTTTCTTTCTCCACTAAGTAAAAGTCATGCCAAAATTTAACCTCTGAGGAGAATCTAAGTTTTGTGTTGTGAGAGTCTACACTCATCATTTTAGTCCTATCTTCAGCTCAACAAAGACTAATACTTATAAAAATTGCAGACTATTCTTAGAAGAATGAAAATTTTATCTTTAACTTCCCCTTCTCAACTTCTACTGTGCCAAAGGAACACTATAAACATCAAATACTTGTTATGAACTTACTAAGCATAATATTCTGTGCACAGATTAAGAGGAACCAATCCCCCCCCCCCAAAAAGCCTTTGAGAGCAGCAGCTCACTCTGGCCCCCTGCACAGCAGGGGTCTGTGGGAGGGGTGCAAGGCATGTATGGCCTTGCTAACCTTCAACTGGTGCTGGGACGCTGGAGGCCTTGGGCCTTATCCAGCACAGTTATCATAAGCTGGACCAAAAGACGCATCCCGAGTCAGAGGGCTAAGGGGAGAAGAACAATACCAGCCGCCCCTTCCGGCTCCTCAGGAAATTCCACATTTTAAGTGGTAAAGCCTACAAAGCAGGGTACAATGGGCATGGACCAGTGGACAAGGATTCCTGTGCTCCCTCGGGCTGGGACTGGGGGCACTGGAGGTGGACATTCACGGTTTTGCACAGATGGACACAAAAGTTCTGAGGAAAAGCTGCCGGATACGAAATAGGACTATCTGAACGTCAAGGGTAATGTGATCAGCTCACAAAGTCTGTGCTCCATGTGTGTGCCTTCCAGGGAACGCAGAACATGGAACCTCAGTTAGCAAGCATTCACACCAGAGCGGTCCTAAAAAAGCTGTGGAGGAGGCTTAGGAAGCTTAGGAAGAGGCTAAGGAGCCAGAAAGGAGCAGGGAGGAACTGGGGCTTACAGAGTAGGTGACCTGAAAACAGACATTCAGGGCCAGCACAACGATGAGCTGTAACAGGAAACAGACAGTGTTCTAGCTCAGACAGAAGCAAAACATTGCAAACCTTCCAAAGCAGAAGGGGAAAAAACAACTTTTAAGAAAGAAAAGAAATAATCTAATCCATTCTCTTCCAAGGTCCTTATGCTTTGAATGGTACTTTATAGGCAACAGAGACAACTGGAGATGAGAGAACTAAATAACTATATTAACTACAAGGACAACACTGTTAATACTCTTCTGAACATCATTTTTTCTAGAATGAAGTTATTTTAGGGCTCTGCTTATAAACCTCAACCACTCCCGTTCCGTAGCTGAGCTCACTGCCAGCATCTCTCCAGCACTCAGAACAGTTAAGTCAGAACAACACCTAATGGAGTTTAGCTTCTCATCACTCCCAATGTCAAGCTTAAACTGGAGGACCAGTTTGTTCTAGATAGGACCAAACAAATGGGGTTAAATGATCATTTTAGGTCTCCCCAACCAGTGGTCTAAAATATCATACTACTGTAAATACCTTTTCCCAGCATACGAAAAGTAAATTCATATACAGTTGTTTTTGCTATGCAAACTTTCATTTATCCAAATTGTCATATCTTAAAACTGGTATTAATTAAATTTTCATTAAATTCCCTGCCATCCAAACCCTCAACTCTTTACTACCCAACTCAGAATCAGACATCGCATATTAAGAAAACAGAACTCTCTTGACATCCAAACTTAGTTTCTGAAGGGCAGAAATCCAGACTATAGGATCAAGAAGATCTGGATCTCAAGAGGAACATTAAGTATGAGTCTGAAGGAACAGTGTTCAATTTCAAATAGAAAACTCAAAGAAGTTAACTGACTTTCGAGGTTGTGTAGACCATGAGAAACTGTCACAAAATGGATTAAGAAGGAAGACAGACAACTGTGCATATGGTCAATCAAACTGCCTCAGGCTCTACTAATGAAGCATGGGTGATATAGGAAACAAACACACACAAAACAGAGTAGAAAAAAGAATTAATAATTACCACCCCGTAAGCATGCCATACTCTAAACCCTTTAGCTTTCCTCCAATGACTTCATGCCATTTAGTACTTAAGAGTGCGCAGGCACAAAAGATAAGTTGTCTCCTAAACAAAAGATGCAGAAGTTTGATTATCCTAAGAGGTAGCACATGGTATATTTCAAAAGGGATTAACTGCTCCCATTCCAAGCTTCAGTTACCTGAACAATGACCAACATAGGAAGCAAAACAAAACACTAATTTCTCAACCCTAAGAAAAGGGGGGGGAGGGACACACAAAGAAATAACTATGCTGGTATTTAAAACTAAACCTTTAGACACATTAACGACAGTAATCGGCTAACAATCAAGAAAAGCCTAAATTGGACAATCCGAAATATTTATTTATTTAAAATATACATATGCTTTGACCGCTAAACACCTACCACAGGAAAATATTACATGATTGACCCAGTTTGCTCCCATTAAATTCTAGCTGTGAAGACTGAGTATGTCACTTAAGTCAAGAAGAATATTGTTTTACTGTTATTGTTTGAGTTCTCAACATGTTTCTGTGTAATTTGTATAACAAACTAAAGTTAAGAAGTTTAAAGTCTAAGAAATTTACAATACTAGCACTGTTAAAAAAAGGAGGCAGGGGGAGACATCTGCATTTTTCCCTTCTCTTAAAACAGGATCTAGCTTTTTGAAGTCTGTGAAACATAAATCTGCTGTAAATGCAAATATTAAGTAGGCCACACAAAACTGGCTATTTTGATATTCACATAATTCAGCGAAGTCTGCCCAGTGTGAAGGCTGTAGAGTAAAACAGTCACTGATGTTTCTGGTGGGCAAAATTTCTGGAACAAATACAATGTATTTAAGGTCCCATGATTCTAGAAAATGCTTTAAGCCTTTGCTAAATATAAAGTTAATACTCTACATAACAAACAATTTTGTCTTGTTTATTAAAATATATTTAAAATATGTAAGTACATATTAGTATTTGGAAGGCTAAACAGCAAACGACTCTCACTATCTCATTCTTCGTGGGAGAGCAGCTGGGAGGAACATATCCTGTAGTGTTTTAACTTTTTGTTACAGCAAACAGGTTTTACTTTCAGCAATTTAAAAAAGGAACAAACTCAAATATTAATCTGTTAGTATGTAAGTTATATTTAAATTTACATCTAGAAAAAAAACCCTTCCTCATTTTCTAACTCAAAGAATATAGTGGAAAACTAAAAATAGCAATGGCTAAGAGCAGCCCCTGACATTAAAATGTTCTCACTCTTAACCTCAAAAGTGTGTGTCATACAAGCCTGTGCTTATAAAGCCTACCTAAAGTGAAACAAAACCAAGACACTGGGAAAACTCAAATACCCAGAAAAATAAAAAGGCATCCAAAATATATCAGTGCAAAATTAACTTACTCTAATGCTAAGAAAATTATTTTGCCTCAGTTTCAAATTTTATATATGAAATGAGGTAACCATTCAGACCACAATTGTTCTATGACACTGGAGAGACTTAAGAATTTTATGTAAGATCATAAAGAAAGTTTAAATTCTCTTTACATGAAATGACACATGTACGAGGTTATTTATTGCAGTTTGTAAAAGGAAAAACTGGATGTAATTCAAGGAATGTGGACATGCACCCAATGGAATACCAAGCCACTGAAGGAAAAAATGAGGACACTCTCTATACCGGTGTGAAAAATGTCTAAGACCTATTATAAAACACAATTATCACAGTACACACAATGTGATAATCATATGCTATTTTTTGTGTAAGTCCCCAGAATGGGAATGTTTTCATTTGCCAGACAAAACAATGGAAGAACATCTAAGAAAAGAATAAAACTGGTTATCTCTGGTCACAGAGGAAAACTTTTTCTGTAATTACTAAATTTTCACAGTGCTTTGATTTATCTTAACTGTGTGAATACAGAGTTAGAATGAAGTATCTTATCTTTTGAAAACAATTTCACCTATATCTGTTGGTCCCCATCTATAGATAGAGTGTAATATTCACCCTGACAAAGTTGGGTAAGATATAAAGTGCCAAGGACAAATGCATACCCCACAGAAGGTGTGGCCCCCTTTCACTAAATCTCAGATGTGCACTGTTCACTTCTGCAATAAAAACACTTTCTCATCTACCATGCAGCTTTAAAATTACACTAAACAAAGGAGTTGTGATGACAGAAACAAATGCTATTAATTTTGCTAATCAAAACTAATGTGAAGATTTAAAATGTATCCTAAAGTAGCATTATGGTTGTACAGGACAATTATTCATAGAAAACACTAAGTATCTAGGATGAAATGACAAAATGCTACAACTAATTTTCATAAGGCTCTAAAACTATTGCCTTAAGAGATTTTTAGGTTTTATGATATAAATTCGGACAAACCTAGACAACCTGTTAAAATTCAGCTTTCTTTGCCCTATTTTAGAGACGCTAGTTCAGTAGGTTAAGGTGAAGTCCAACATCACCAATTAATAAACTCTCTATGTGACTCTGATGTATTACACCAGATTCTGAACACCAAAGTCCTTGAATTCTGGTAAAGACTTAAGACCTATTTAAATTGTTCATCA